AAATAAAAAAAAGAGTACGTTCCATGCAATTGCCTCGCGAGGTTTTCTTTCCATAGAAACCTAAGCGTACCTCGAATGAATGATACAAGCAAAATTGGGCCGCATTTGAATATTCCTGATGTATGTTGATATTACACGTGATTTTAAAATTCAAAAGCCTTCACGTCAATCATCAAAAAGAAAAACATTTATTTTTGTCTCCGAAGAATTTTTCCACTTTAATGGGAGACGAATTAAGGAAGATGAGGGATATTTGTAATAGGACTATAAACAGAGTGAAAACTTCAACCGAAAGTCACAGCGAAAGTGGACAACAATCGATTAGCATAACAAAAGATTTAGTAGTCGACCTTCTTAGAGTGTTTGCACGAAACGACCCCAGCATTATGGTCTATTGTGACAGTCCAATTTTTTTAATTCTGTTCGTCTGTTACGGAGCATGCCGAGCCTATTAAGTTTCACGCGACCTCTGCTCAGACAATTTCTCGCTCTGTTGCTTACACTAGACGCAACCGCAGAATGTAAACACGCTACGGTTCAAGAGTGAAATTTTCACAGAGGAAGTCGAAACCGCGATAAGCACTGCGCTAAACCCATTCAGCTCAAACGCACGTCAACGCTTGTCGGAAATCGACCAACATTTGACGAAGAGAGGGAAAAAACTGAGAAAGGCGCACGAGAGATGAGTTAATTATTTATGACATCGTTCAGAGTAGAGTGTTGTCGATTGAAGTATGGAACTTGCTGAAAGGGTTTTCCGAGTTGTCGTCTGTAGTTTCTTAATTTATGGTTGTTTCGAAGGCAAACTTGTTCAAATCGGAGCCCTGAATACGGCTCTCAGCGAAAGTACAAACAACGGAGGCGAGGCGAAAATAGGAACTGTACCTTTAAACGAAGATATCAAAGAAAGGAAGATATCAAAGAGAGACGTCGAAAATAATGAAAGTTTGAGCGTGCAAAATAGTGTGGATCCTACAGAAATTGGACAGACATTTATCATCACATCGACACGTGCCCTCAAACAGACCAAACGAGCAAATGTTTTATCCGCTTCGCCAAGTAAGGTCAAGATTGACACATCACCAACGAGAAAATATGACGGAAATTCGAGCGAGACTGTGGCTATTAATTCGCAATACAGTACTCCTCACACAATGGGAGCCAGCATCGATGGTGTAGTTACAACACGGGTCGTAAAAAGCTCAATTCATCCAACGTCTATTGTTTCGTCCAAAATTCTCGCTGCTCAAACTTTCAGCGAGTTACTTAGTCGCTCAGCGACAATAAATCCTGCAGAACTGACCACAAACCGACCCAAAACAAAAGAAACGACTCCAAAGGGAGAGAGCGATGTAAAGATGAAAAAAGATCCGAACGAAAGAGAACAGAGAAAGACTCTCTTCGGATTTGTGACGATCGAGATTCTCGTAGCGCTTCTCGCGGGAGCAGCTTGCGCTGTAGTTCTGCTCATATTTTTGGTATATCGATTGAAAAAGCGAAACGAGGGAAGCTATGAACTTCAGGAATCGATAAGCTTAAAGACAGCCGCACACACTGAAGAAAAAGAGGTTTTTGTATAAATTGGTTGATGTGTTTACCTTTTGTTTCGACTTTAAGATCGATGCAGATCTGTGACTTTATTACATCCCCTTAATTTAATGGCTCTAATATGACTCGAGAGCAACAATTTGATTTCGAATGGCCAGTCGTTGAATTTCAATAGAAAAAATGTTCAGCTTAGAAGCGCCTTCGAAACTGAAATCCTCTTGTTTGAGATTTCGCTGACAGCGTGTGAGCAAAAATTGATTTTATTCAGCAGGTGTTTTTACAAGCTTTCGACTCGCCAGCAAAAATGCCAGAAAGTGGTATAGAGGAATCGATTCAATCTTTCGCTAAGAAACGATAGCTTTAATTTCTTAGCCTGTTCAATAAATATGTTCTAAAATGTATGAATACTTCTTAGATAGAATTGCATTTATTATGCCTCTAAGAAAACTGTAGACAAAAGAAATAGAAGTTTTAATATGGAATATGCAAATATTTGAACTGGAGAATGGCAATGGCGTAGAAGCCATTTTGAAACCTATTCACGTGGTGTGTATTTTAATAAGATTTTATCAGATGAGATGAGAATTTTTTTCTCTAGATTACAAAGGACTTTCTATGGCGTTTAAGAAACTGAAAAAGCCTTTTGAAAATTTCATTTTCGATGGCTATTGTCTTTATTATAATTGTTACTGTTTACAGAATTACATTACTATTTTCATGAGTAATCTCTTGTTTTTGAATGCAGCTGAAGCTGAAAATGTCCGGTTTCAGCTGGAAGAACATTACACTCGTATATTAATAAAATATATAATTCGTTAGCAGAATTGCAAAATATATGATTTGGTCACGGATTATGACAACCTTAAGTCCTTGCTGATAAAAAATGCCCAATTTGATAAACAAGAGACGAATTCTGGGATTACATTGTTGTTGTTTTTTTAGCAGTAATTTTCAATTTTCTAAGAACGACATTTCCTAACGATGCATAAGCCATAACTTTAATACTCAATATCACCAGAAAGATGGATTGAGGAGCTCACCGATAACAACTTTACCCTTTGAAGCGATAAGACAGGAACAACTGATATTGTGCAACTTCTGACTTCTCAAAATGATAGAAGACAAAAATTTTCTTCCAAAGTTCCTTTGGCATTTCCGGACTCGTTTTTTTTAGCTATTTTAGTTTGCTTAAGCTCTTTTATTGTTCTGTTAATTTCGTGCTGTTTTAGTTTGAATGAAAATATAATCTTTAAAGGAAAACATTTCATATAAGAGAGGTACTAAAATGCATGCAATTTTCAAGTGTTTTTCTCTTAGTCAAATGACCTTGTTGCCTATTCCTGTTTTCTTTCCCGACATTTTTAGTCTGGTGACGTTAAAAATACCACTAAGCAAGTTAACTTAAGCCTTCTTTGGCAACGTCTTAATGACTTATTTTTGCGGTAATTTTTTCTGTCAGTACTTGATTTAATTACCATTTCAAATTAAGAACAGGGCGATTAGCACTTCAATGCTTTTGTTTAATAAGCAGTAATTATCAGATTTCGAAATCAAAGTGATTTTTTGATTATTTGTCAAAATGCTTAACGATTAGTTTACTTTGTTCAGTCCTAGTTGACTTATTATAAACTTCGATAAATCTGTTTTTCCGCAAGATTTTTGTGAAACCCTGTTCGTTTCCGCGGTTAAAATACAAAATCCTTCGTCTCCCACCGAGTAACCAGTAATCGGTGTTTTACGAGCTTAGAGCGGACGAATGTCATCCGAGATTGCATTGGCTCTGCTTTACTTCGCTCTGTGGCTCTGTGATTGACCCAAAAAAACTCGCGCCACTGTCTCAACCAATCAGATGCAAATCTAAAACCAATCACAACTTGGTTGCCCACGTTTTCCCGCGCTTTCGGCATTCCGGTTATATTTGGTTTTTACTGTGAGTTCTCAATTGCTTTTAAAGGTATTTTCGTTTCTTCCGATCGGCCGTCGAGATCAGTTTGGTTTTGGTTTTTACGATAACCAATCTAAAAGTGCTCTAAGCTGAATATTCACGAACATTCTGTCTTTTTTTTTATTAGTGTGTCAGACTCTTCCAAATGAGATAGAAATAGCTGAGAGTATAAAATGTAAATAACCTCGACCTTTCTTACATTTAGCCCAAGCTTACGACTCTCATTCCACTCTCCCACCCAACCCCCCCCCTCCAACAAAAAAACAATTAATAAAAAAAAAAATTGTTGACGCACTCTTCGTGTGTGGCTTGGCTTCTGGCAGCTTCTTATGCAAAATTAATTGCGAAAAATTTTTATTCTTAATGGGCTAAAATATCATTGTATTATTCGATCTACGGAAACGCCTCTGGTTGAAGAACACTTTAGGTAAGAAACTGTCTGTGTGAAAGCAGTTACTTTATGGCTTTTATTTGGCGAAAATCCGTTTAAATTCTCTGTATCTTCATCAAACTAGTTTCCTCTTTCTTTGTAATTAATTACAACTTTTCTTTTTGTCCACTTTAGAAAATTTGGTTATTTTTTTTCCCCTGGGTTCCGAACACCAGAGAAAATTTCCTACGAACGCAAAAAATGTTGTACTGACCACCTTCTTCTAGACACCTACGTTTTGGGTCGTGCACCTTACAAATAGTTCTTTCAACCTATCTAACTTCGCCGCCATATGCAGTCGGTATTTATTTCTTCCATCCTTGTTATCTAAGTTCCTGTTCGCTCCAATCTCATTTCTTTGGTGTTTGTTTGCCTCGGTGAGGTTTCCTTATCATTGAGAATAATTGCTGAGATTGACTGACGTATCGTGACTTAGTCGATTCCTTCAAAGTGTCGGTGTACTTAGTAACCTCTCAAGCGATCTTATCTTGATTGATGTTAGATACAAAGTTAATTTTTAAAAATATCAAAGTCTTGTTTAATGCATAACAACAATGTAGACAAAATTTTCCAAGTTCAATCCGTTTCGATCTCCTTCATCTCTTACTATCCACAATTTTAATTTGTTTGAAGCTTCATCTTTGCCATTTTCTCATTTCACCACGTTCATGTTTACAGAAGGCTGGCTCTTAAAGATTCCATAATGGTACGCTGCACCCAGACACACTTATATCGCCACGCCTGAGTGGGTAATGGAACATGCAAATCAGCTCACTTCACTATAATTTTCTTTCCTTTGTTTTGCAGTCAGGTATTATTTTAAGCATCATTATTTTTCAAAGAATGTGCTCCCCGCTTTTGTAAATTTCGGTTAGCGTTTCAGAAAACAGACGCATCACTGTCATCAAGTCAGGAATGGTCCGTGGGCGACGGCTGGAATTTCGTTTTGGAAACTGATGTAATTCGCAAAAGATGGACTAAGTGTTGTTCATAGATATAAAAAACTATTTGATATGCACTGAAAAAGTTAACATATTCGCTCCTGAAAGTGAAAGATTATTGACTGTTGCACAAGCAGAAGTTTGCCGAGATTAAATCATCAACGTTTCCAAGATGACTTCTCAACAGATAACAACCAATGTAGTTCGTAGGACTAAATTGCATTCCAGAAAAGGATTCCTCCTGCGAGTGACTGATGATTTGGTGGAGGGAAGTCAAGATTATGATAATGATGTTTACAGTGAGTGGAATTCTTTACGTTAAATCTAGACATAGTCTTGAGGCAAACAACTATTGCAATCTTCCACCATTGATTCAATCTTCAATGAAGCTGGAAAGCTAGTTGAGCCGGTAAAAGTTAGGTTAATTGTCAAGGACGATTCTCATTGAAGTGATCTTGTTATGGCAGTTTGGCGTTGCCAGCTTATGTTTTAGGGTAACTTCACGTAACAGATTGAGACCTCGTCAGTTCTTCGTCAAATGTCCATAAGGCCAACCTGATAAGCTTTTAACACAGCCCTAATGATTGGGCTCAATTGCCAGCGCAACTCGGAACGTATTTGTCCTACCATTGTTACATAAGATGTGAAGAGTGGGTCGTTTGAGAGTATTTAGTGGTAGCTACAAGTTAAAATGTGGCGAGAAATCATTTTAATTAGGGACTGGCCATCGTTTATAACTTGGCAAGGGGGGGGAGGCGGAAGGGGAGAGGTCGAAAGATTTTCCTGATTTACCCCCCCCCCCCCCACCCTGTGTAGTATTCTGATGAACCCCATCCCCTCGCTGGCAGTCAATTTTCTATATCCTCTCTCCGTTCCGTTTCTCCTGAAAACCACGCAAGTCCCCCAGAATCCTTTAGCCCCCCCGATAAATATGACCAATCCCTTATCGCTGAGAGTTAAGTTCAAGTGAACATCAACATTTCCATCAAAAGTAAAATCTGTTCATTTACTTTGATGGAGTCAGAAACCCTTAAATTGGCTCCTGTTAGAGCTTGAAAAAAGCCTGAAAACGAACTTAGAGAAAACTTAGACTATTCATGCTATACGCTACTAATTTTTTTCTTCAGAACTTTCAAGTTTTTACATGTTAGATTATTGATTGAGTAGGTGGTAAATGGAAAGTATAAAAGCATAACTATTGACTTCACAGCTAACCTAACGCGTCATGGGCGACAACTGAAAGCAAAGAGTTTTTTTTTTCTGTTCAAGACATGAAGACTTTCTTTGATATCGCGCTCATAACGTACAGCGTGTTAGGTGAAGGGTTGGGAAGTCTGTCGGGAAAAAATGGAACATACTTACCAATTTAGAAATATTGATTTCCTTTCGTATGCAATCTTTTTCCTAAAACTTTGAGAAAGAGAAAGGGGGAAAAGATAAAACGCCCTAGGGGGTGAGGTGGGGGGTAAATCGTCACTTAATGGAGCCGCGATTAAAAAAAATGATAATAATCGGTAAATTGTTGTGGTTCCATTTTTCCATTTCATACATAAGTTACAGACAAAACTCTATTAAATAAAGCTTTTGTTTATCTACTCTACAGCTACCCTTCAAATGGCTTCTGTTGGTCCTGGGGAAGTCGTGATTCGTGGAGAGGTATCCAATAAGTACATTGGAATGGACAGTAACGGAAACATCGTAACGTATGTAAGTAGAAATTTCATGTAATTTTAATGATGAATGTGCGAAAGAGTATTCACTTACTGTCTCACTTCCTCGTAAGCCATCTCGAAGCTGCAAGAAAGGAGTCAAGCTAACTGAAAGGCTAAATTCTCCATTTGAACCGGAATCATTCTCTAATTAAAAACTTCTAGACTCCAATTATATAGTCTCTTCAACATAGTGTCGCATGTACCTGCTTCAATGTTTTGGTGGAGAACGAATAACAACCCATGAAATGTTCATCAGTGTAAACGAGGACTTTTAAATTTTTATCCTACCGGCATCCAGAATCGTTAATGATCCAAATGAAACTCCAATATAGGATTATCACGGAAATTATTATAAAGCCAACAAGGTGGATCCAGTCTCTTAGCTTCATTCTCCTTCGTTAAGTAAAAAAAAAAAAGGGGGGGGGGGGAAAGGGGGGGGGAAGAGAGTTAAACAACCCTTTGAGCTTATGAGTCTTTTTTTTTTTTGGAACGGGGGGGGGGGGGGGCGGGAAGGGAACGGGACAAGGCGCCTACCCTTCGCTGATCACTGGTAGTAGCTCGAAAAAGAATTTAACAGTTTTCCGGAATTATAAACAAACGAACAAAAACGTAAAAACGAATAAGTGCTATAATGGCCTGGGAAATCAAGTTTGGACTTTTCGATAACCTTGTCGGAAAAGAGTGAATTTTTGGTATGGGTTTTCCAGTGTCCTATTGGGAAGTCTGGGGTGAATAAGCAGTTAATCGATCCAACTCACCTGAAATTAAAATGATTGATTACTCGGACATTTGCAACAGTCTAAAAATTATATATTTAGTTAGCTTGAAGGGCGGGTCAAGGTAGACTATGACAATTTTGCAAATAATGATTCGTCACATTGCATTTTCTCATCAACGAGATAATTTTTTGTTTTCAACGCAAATGTCGAATTAACATCTTCTCGGCCAATGTACACGCTGATAACTTTGCATGTATCTTGTGACGAAAGAAAAACGAAAATATCCCACTTTATTATTTAATTTATTTTTGAACAGAATTCCTTGCTGGAGGACTGCATATTCAAAGAACATCAGCACACGAATGGTTACAGCTCTTTTGAGTCCAAACCCCACTCTGGATGGTTCCTAGCGCTGACAAATGATGGCAAAGCAAAACCTGGACCCAAATCTGCACGCGGCCATAGAGCCGTGGAATTTTTACCAAGCAGTGTTTAATAAATCAGCATCAATTTCATCAACTTTTGTACTTTATTACGATGTTTCAAAATAATTATTGGCTGTGATAAATAGGCAATTCAATAAATAGATGAACGGATGTCGATATATGAACGATGCGTCGTTCTGCATTGCCAAAATGGGATTGATTTTCAGAGTCATTGGATGGCATTTCTTTGGAGTTATGCACTTAAATGCTTATTGAAGATTCATCTCAGTGACAGCTCAAGTTTTTCTAGGAATAGACAAGAGAATATTCACTGTTAATTGATATTCTCTTGGAATAAATCATTGTCACCCTTTGATTCTCTTACTCCCAAGACCATGAAATCAATTCAATTCTCCTCATTGTCTGCTACAAATTTCCTTATACTCTAAGGAATTGGTGTTTAATTAAACCTCGCACCAAATATGATATCTTCCTTCTCCTTATCACCTTTCTATTATCGATATTGTGAGGAGAAATTTCGTTCTTGGTCACTTTTGGGCGTAAAAAGGTTAATTTGACCATTATTAGGGTACATCATGACTCAAGAAGGTATCATAAGGCGGAGGAGAGACTGGGGACGAAGACACGCATAAGAAAATATAAATCTCGAAGGAAGCTTTGCAAAGTCATGATTACGCGCCGTCCACGTGCTTTTAATAGTAGCAAAAGTGAAACGCCACTTCTTGCACCAAGCAGGATCGCGACAACATTTTCTTGAAGAAATTATTTGCATATCAGAACCTGTAAATTCAGTTCCATACATAGCGGCATGAGCAAGCCATTAGCGAGTTATTCACGTGAAACCCGTTTGAAATGTCGACACGGTTTCTACCTTAAAGTGACAGAGAGTGGAGTTGAGGGAAGCCGGGACAGTGACGATCGTTATAGTAAGTAGACATTTCTTTTGTGATTCTTTACACGGCTTAAATTACCAATTTGTTCAAATCAATAGCAGGGTACTTAAATCGATTGACATGGGACCCCTCCCGTGCGAAAGCAAACAAGGTTACGAGAACCCAGTGAACTATCCAACGGGAGTGGAATATCTCCTTGAAAGGGAAAGAAAACGAATCAGACACAGTAAATCAATGACAAAGTTAATATGTTACTTTGTTTTCCTTGCGTGAATTTGGAACAAAAGTTATGAAACAGGATACGAGCTCACTTTTTCTTTTGCGATATCCATATATGTATAAATGTATTTCGCGCCGGCGTTGTTTACAAAAATCATCGATTAATACTGTATTAGTTAATACTACTGAAAGATGTTTAGCATTTCGAAAGTCCCAACGGAAAACAAAATGCCCGTTTGAGGCCATCAGAACTGAGACCATAGTTTGAATTTTTAACCGAGAAGGATGTGCATTTACCTCATTCGTTGTCAGTGATGGACAATTTTAAACAAACTAGACTTTTTTTTAATCTCCTTTTTTGAACTGCTTCCTTGAACTTTATTTCTTACGCATTTTTCAGTTTCAATAAAAGTTTCGTCGGAGACAAAAGCCAAATGCCAGAGGAAGACAATTACTTTCTCGTTCTATCTTTTTCGAATGAATTTACATCTTGAAACTAAAAGGCAGGAACTTGCCAAATTGTGAGAAATTTCCATCGTTCAGTCATTTTTAGACAAGAAAAAGAAAATCTCGTTTTCTACGTACATTTCACGGAAGCTGTTTATTATTCACGTTCTTATTTTGTCACATATTTCCGTCATTTTCTAAGCCCATAAATTCAAACTGAAATCGTTTTTAGCCCATACCAACAATCTCTCGGTAGATTCTTGTGATCGCAAACATTCCTGGGGTCGGTGGTGAAGATAAGGTGCGGTAGGCATATCTTGAAAGTCGCACGTCACAGGTTTAAAATGTAATGAAAACAGGGATACCGCTGGTTTTATAATACCAAGTGATCTAAATACTCATCAAAAGCTCTTAAATCAAGTAGTTTGCCCCGCTTCATGGACTCGTCGATCGATGCACTAAGAACAATGAAATGTCTTGAAAGCCATTTTCACTACCACTCAAAAGATGTTTCCATTCATACCAGGTTTACTCCGCTTTTTTCCTCAGTAGTACCCTCTCAAAGTTTTTTTTTAATGCAAAATACAAGCTTTAAATCGGCGGAAAATACTGGCCAAAGATACACTGAAAGCTTAGTGTGCTTTCATTTTGGTACCCAGAGGAATTAGGAAACGAAATTCAATCACTGAGGCGAAAACGCTGGCCAATGTAATCTTTCCTGGTCTTGTCCTGGACAAGAAAATGCCCTCGACATTCGTTAGATGCCAGATATGATGCGGATTGTACCATTGCTGTAAACTGTGACATATAACCGTCACGGTAAGCTTAGTTTTCCTTTCAGTGCCAGCAGTTTCTAACTGAAGTTTCATTATATTGGCCGGCCAACTGTGAGTGTTAGAAGAAAGAAGGGGGGCGGGGGGGGAAGGAGGTGGGTGTTCCATGCTCCTTTACATCATAAACCTACGTCAAACCCGAAAGAAATCGCTGAATGACGTGGAAACTCGTGGATGAGACAACAAACTTTCGTTTAAAAAGCCAGCCGTTATCCTGGGAAAGAATTAAAGGATTGTATCTTTTTTTACTATCTTGTAGCTACTCTCACTATGGAATCGGTTAAGACAGCTGAAGTGATGCTGAGAGGAAACGTATCAGGAAATTACATCGCGATGAACACCAAGGGAGAGTTGTACAGTACAGTAAGTCAGACGGGTGATTGTTTAAAATTTAATGTTCCACGATATCCAAGTTCTTACACTAAACGGACACCTAACCGAGGGTACGTCTCCTTCTTCCAGACAATCAAGCCCCAACCATTGTGAGGAACAGTAACAATTCGGTCAATTTGTACTTTCACATCTCAAAAGTATTCAAGTTTTCTTGTAAAAGTGGCAACAGAGTCTTTGATCTTAATAAAGGGAGAAACCATGGGGCATAAGTGAGACCCCTCGAATCCAGCCAAAAAAATACAGTAAAAAAGTTGCGATCTCTCGCCATTCAAAGGGAATAAGTCATAGACAGACGACAAAGAGATAGGAGACTGTAAATCTTACCCAACTATAAATTAACAACAACTCTTGATCGCTCGGTATTTTCTCCTATTTGTATTCGATCTTGTCTCATCGTTACTAACTTCATCTTTATTTTCAACAGAATAGTCCAACTCACCCGGAGTGCGTCTTCAAAGAGATTTTTGGAACGAAGTACAATTCTTACCAATCCACATTGAATCCTGCCTGGTACCTAGCTCTGACAAAACAAGGCGAGGCGAAGTATGGGCCCAAAACTAAACCCGGACAGAGGGCTGTTGGCTTTATAGCTGAATGACTAATGAACCGAATACCAAAAGAGTTTATTAGTAATTTGTAATAGACCCAATTAAAAGATGTATAAAATGGAATCTACATATTTTCTGTTTTCTTTGTGTGTGTGTGTGTGTGTGTTTGTTTACAACTCCATATTAACGTTCTGTAAAGCTGTCTTGAGGGGGAGAGTTCTTTAGTATCGGAGATCGTTTGAACAGGTCCCTAGTTTTGGCTCTTATCCGTGCTCCGAAGATTTGCTCTGAGTTGTAATAGCTTCCTCTTTCCACCCGCCAGCCCCCTTAAATAAAGACGAAATTTCTTTTCTTGTTGTTTGTTACCTAAGTTACAAGTCTTGCAACCACCATCTTCAATTACGTCTGTCACCTCTCCTCTCTGTAAGAACCTGTTTCGCTCACGAGTGACGCAGAACAAAGAAGACATAGAAGTAAAAGGAGTAGAGGCCGGGAAAACAGTGGTAAAAAAAGAGAAAAATCAAACTAGTCCTTAAACCGAGATAAACTTTTATTTGATTATTCATCATTAGAAATCCTTCAGATTAAGGTCCACTCATACAGGTTCAAAATTAATTACCGTGAACGAGGTGCACTGAAGCAGCGCGATCAATCTTGCGATCTATATTCATGATTGTGGCCCTAAATATTGCATTATTCGTCCTTTTTGATCTTTCAGTCAATTCGTCCTGGAATAGCGTGCAATTGTCCTACAAATTTCGCTTGCTTTAACTTAGCGTGACTACTCTCAAATCAGAGTCACGCACATCACGCTTGGGTTCAACTGGAACGGGTTCGTTTACTTACATAGAAGGAGTGAACGCTTTGCTGACGGGCAATGCATGTTGGGCCTAAGAAGGGCGGAAGTGATTTTTGACTTAACTGGAGTGTTTATCTGCTGTTTAGGCGAAGGTTATGGCTGTTTTTTTGTTATCTCTCGCTCCTGTATAGTCTCTAGTTTCTCCTGTTGAGGTAAGAGGTGTTTGATGTTTACTTAGCGTAATGCAAGTAAGAATTGCAAAAGAAATTAAGATGTAATCAGCGTCATACTTAATTATCAGTGAAGAATTCGACTACTAAGCTTTCTGATTTACTTTGAAATATGCTCCAAATACGACAATGAATCACAGTTGAAGCACAGTAATTGAAAGTTGTTAGAGTATTTAGTTGTTTGATTTTGAATTGCTTTTATGTTCTCTGATATCATGATGATATCTGGAGAGAAAGCGAGTGATAATTTCATCTCGGGTAATTAATTTATAGCAATATGGAATTTATGGACTGAAATTTTTTCTTCAAGAGGGAATGTTATAGGTTGATTAATAGGTTTGTGGTTTAATCGGCAAAGGTACCGAGTCATTAAACAGTCAGCTGATAAATTCCGCACAGCTACATAGGGCGACTTCATTATGCATACTTATGTTTTACTAGGATAAAGAAAACAATGGTGTAAACGGCAACGCGACTACGACTTTGTTTCAGAACACTACGGGGCTACACGGAAATCTCTGTTTTCTTCTTTAGGAGGGAATGTTGTGATTTTATTAAAGGGTTTTTTTTTCATTGGCTAACGTATCACGTCATACAATTCCGTTGATAAATCTTAAATTCTATGAGTTAAGCCAGTTTTCAAATATTTCATATGATTAAGAATCTAGAGATGGAAATTTAATCAATTGTCCCACAATGTAAGAGTCAGGCTAATAATCGTGTATTGATCACAACATTTCAACTGCTTTACTGTTAGTCTTGTTATTGGTGTGTTTTGAAAGTGCTGTCATCAGTGCATTTTAATCCTCATTATAATTCTGACTATCAGACGTTGTTCCCTCATACTTCTGGTATTTTTGCTATCAGCATTTATGCTTTTTGATAGTAGACTTCTTTTGTCACTTAATTACATGGTCCTGATCTCCATATGAGTCTGGTAACTGGTCAATTTAGCTATAGTTAGAATTTCATTCCAATAATTTGAATAGAGTTTTACTTGCATATACATGACTGGCAACTAGATATTAGATTGCATGATTGGCAACTAGATCTCTTGATTGCATTTTTGGCAACTGGATATTAGATTGCATGGTTAGAAACTAGATCTTTAAATGGTGTGGATGGCAGCTAGATATTTAGATTGCATGGTTGCAACTACATCTTTAGATTACATGGATGGCAAATAGATCTTAAGGTTGCACTGGTTGCAACTACAGTGCACATGATCTTTTGATTGCATGGTTGGTTTAAAGGTGCAAAACTCTAGATCAAAAATTTATCTTTCAAATCAGCACTCTTAACCCCCACAGTATCAACCAGTGCTTTTCATTCAACTAGTTTAGTCTTGTTTTCTTATCACCATATTCCTACCAATAGTGTAGCTCCATTTTGTGCATGAAAACACACACACAACCCACAATTTCTCCATTCACTTTGACAAAGGGCTGACGCTCAAAACATCAGCTTTGAAACTCTCTATGGTGGCCAATTTGTGTCATCAACTCAGCTGATAATACTAAACTACCTTGTTATACTCTCCCACTGACACAGCACCAGAGTTTCCTTAGAAACTTACATCCCTTATTACTCAATCTTAAGATTGCATGGTTGGCAACTAGACTTAGTGGCATGAATTAAGAATGGCTTTTGACATTATATTTTGGTAAAGGAGAGAATGGTGAGGTTAGATGTCCAAAACTGAGCCAGCACAGTTGACTGGACTCATGTGAATGACTCCATAGAGCCAGGGATTCTTCTCTATGCCATTCGCTAAGTAATCAGGGCTCAGGGAAGGCAGTGCACTGTGGTGTCACAACAACTAACTGTGAGATAAAATCAAACCAAGGGTTACTAAAGAACTTTTGGAGAATAAATGATTTTATCTGAGTTACAAAAGCCCTTTTTTAGACGTTACAAGTGATAAGTAAATGAAAGAAATTAGGTAATGGAAGTATAACAAATAGATGAAAATATCCTTGATAAAATAATTGCAAATACACAAAGCACAGCCACATGAAAGGAGCCAGTTGAGCAAACTGGCTGTCAGAGCTAACTGCCTACTGATTGATCATCAATGCTTTGTTACTCATACCTGCCCTCATAATTCTGACCATTGGTTAATTGCCACTTTGGACATTACCAATAACCACTGTATGGCTCAGAAATACCTAAATAAACTGAATACTCTGCAGGATACAATCCATTATCAGTCAAAGTTTTTACTTTAACTAGTGTGTTAAATTATGATAGCTTAACACAGAGAATTATCTTTGCAGCCATTGTGAATGTTACTGGGGACGTAATTTTGCAAAAATTCATATATTAAAACGTTTTATTTTTATTGACCTATTATGACTGCCTGATGTGTTGACCATATATATATATATATATATATGAAGTTTGTATGGCACTCATAAGGCTTCTTTTTTTGTTATTTGATATCGAGAATTCTTATAGAAAGGCTTTTTTTGGTGGAAATTGTTTTCTTATTGGTGAGGGAAAGATTAATTTCCTAGGAGGATGAGACAAAACAGAACATAAATCCTCCTGTAGTGACCTCTAGATCATATACAGTAAATGGTTTTACTTGCTGTCAATCAACATCCCCTCTCTATTGTTTTATTCAAACCACTTGTTTGTGTCAAAGTATTATGAAAAAATAATATACTCAATCAAGTGAAAGAAAAAAATGTAATTCGCTTGCTGGAAAATAATGTGTGTGTGTGGGGGGGGGGGGGGGGGGTGGGGAACACTCCTAGGTGAGGCTTTTCCAATGAGTATTTTCTTGTGGAACCTAGTAAACTGAATTTTTTTTTCAGTAGTTTAAAATTTTGAATTCTAGATCAAGATGGTTTTGAAAATATTTGATTGTTATAAATCCCTTTGTTCCAACTACTTTTCTATAATCACTTTGTTAAAAAAAACTTTCAAGGAAAAAAACCCAAATTATTTAAACTATATAATTGCCACTGGCAGTAATGATTTTACCAGCTGTGTCTATTTAACTTAAGATGTATTTTCAAGATACAGTGGAGATCAACTCCATTTTGTAATTTTATGGAAAATGTTTTGATCGTTTTTTTTTTTTTTAGCAGCTTGAGTAGTTAACAAGTAAATTCTTACTTGCCCAGGGAGAAGGAGGATTCCTTAAGGTTTACTGAACAACACACAATGTCACACATTTAATTATGAAATGCTTTGTATCATTCTTGATGTTCACAGATGGAATATATCACCAGAGGTACAGGAAATATAGAACTGACATTTTCTTTGGCAGTTACAGGTGAGTGCAAACGAAAGTAATCTAATTAATGGTCAATTTATCATTATAACTTAATTGTTAGTTTTTGTTTCTCAAAATATACATGTAAGATACTTTCACGGTTGTGTGTGTTTTTTGACCTCTGTTTTGAAACAGGAGGGCCCTACGTGGGCAAATCGCTCTTGCTGAACAGATATGTTAATGGCAATTCTCATTACACCGAAGAAGGTAAGAAAACGTTTAACATTGAGCACAAAAATGATTAAATGAGTTTTTAGAGAGTTCAGCGATCTAAGTCTTAAGCCATGTTCATTTGTCCTTTCAGCGACCATCCTTCTTAAAAGTGTACGTCTGGATCATGACATGATAGTAACACTTGTAATGTGGGATATTTCTGTTTCGGACTTTTTCTTCGCGAAAGCAAGGGCTCTTGTTGTGTATGACATAACACAGAGACGTTCATTTGAGAAAGCAAAGGAGTTGGTTGATGAGTTCGCTCAACGGGCCTGGCCAGGTGCCTTTGTAGCTCTTGTGGGGAATAAAGCGGATCTTGAAAGTAGAAGGGAGGTGTCTTTTAAGGTAAGTAATGTGACCATGTTTGTATAATGCTAGTGTGCTACATGTCGTAAACATGAAATCACGTAGGTCAGAAGGTTTTTTAATGGTTTTTGTAGAGAATGATGCAAATCATGTTTGAGAAAGGATGGTAAAGTGAGGTGGTTTATGAAAGCTCTTTGGATGATTTTTGTATGATTTCTTATTATGTCCTTGGTATAAAATCATTTGTCGGGTCGTATCTTATGGAGAAGAATGCATTCCTAGTAAGTGCTTATTTACACTGCGACTCTACCTGTATCTTGCTGTATTAGTGTCAAAACATGGAAACTTACTACGTGTCTTTTAAAACATTATTTGTTACGAAACTCTCGTAGAGCAACTATATTAGGCATTTGACATCCAGCTTGCTTAAAGGTAGACTTCCCTGTTTCAGCCAAAGTCAACTACACCATACTCACCAGGCATATGTCAACAATCTGACGTTGGCACCTCGCAAGTAACCTTTTCCACAACATTGACGTAACAAACCGACTTATTAGAATGAACTATTCTTGTTTACCTTTTTTGTTTTTAAGACAGAAAACAATGAGTTAATTCACATACGGTTGAATGACGAAGGAATCATGTTACCCGATTGTCACAGTCAATGACATCACAGCAAAAGTAACGAATTAGTTTTCAGGAGGCAGAATTACATCATTTTACCAATACTCCTCCTTGGACTCTAATGATGACTGACGCTCAGGTTGTCAAAAGAACAATCACTACTAATGACAACAATGCTTCTCAAGACTTCTCTTACCAGGCTTTATTGCAAAAATTTAAATTTTCAACAAAAATTGATTAGACCCATTTTTCGGTGATCAATGGTGTACTATATTTCTTTTCCTCATATTCTCCAAATTAACTCAGAGTTATTCCAGACATGCAGCTCACACACACTGTTAAATTAGTGGTGGGAGATTTCCCTTATTATATGTTGTTCTTTTAGGAAGCTCAGGATTATGCAGATGGAAACAATGTAGTTGAGATTTTGATGGAAGTGTCAGCACTAACAGGCGAAAATGTGGAAGACCTTTTCTCCAAAGTAGGTAGGTAGAATTGACTATTCATTGATCTAAAGGGGTAACTTTCAAAAGAAACTGTGGTGCTGTGTCGGTGGGAGCGTATAACAGGGTAATTAAGTATGATCAACTGAGTTGATAACGTAAATTGGCCAAAGTAAAGAGTTTCAAAGCAGACGTTTTGAGCGTTAGCCCAAAATGATTAAGAGTGCTGATTTGAAAGATAAATTTTTGTTCTAGAATCTTGCAGCTTTTCGACCTGCCTAGATGTAGCGACGTCTGGCAAGAACACATCCAAACCAGTCCCCCAGAGACTTTAATCTCCCTAACCATTCTGAGCAGCATATGGCAGTTTGCGGCCTTTCCTTACATGTAGGTAGTTCGGAAAGCCGCCAAACTCTAGAACAAAAATTTATCTTTCAAGTCGGCACTCTTAATCCCCACGGTATCAACGGGTGCTTTTCATTCAACTAATTTATTCTTGTTTCTCGTCACCATATTCCCACCAATTGTGTAGCTCCATTTTCTGCAGATAAACACACGCACAACCCACAATGCCTCCAATCGCTCTGACGAAGGGCTAACACTCGAAACGTCAGCTGTAAAATTCTTCACCGTGGCTAATTTACGTTATCAACTTAGTTGATAATGCTAAATTACCCTATTCATTGATCTGTCTTACAAAGTGAAGGTAAAGTCTGCACTTGAACCCATTGGCATGTGAGGTACCAGAGCAGCTTGGGGTCTAGGGCTCCAATCATTTCACCGCACCATCAACCAACAAACTGCCTCATCAATTACACTGCTTTTTAAAGTAGATGTGTTTTCTCTTTATGTGTTTTGGCAAATGATATGCTTTACGCGCATTGCAACACTCTCCTTCTGGTTTTGTATAACACCTACGTTGAAAGAGATTCCCTAGTATGCGTCAGCCAAAGGCGACTCAGGCGGAAGAAAATATGGAACGACTTATCATAACACAAATTTAAAAGAGAATTATTTGTAAACTATCACATACTCCACTCTTGTATGAAGCCAGACTTGCTGATAGCATAGAGCTCGGCAATGACATTGGATGAGAAGCATTGTCGAAAGCTTCAGAAATTCTACCAAAGCCATTCCTGCCGAGTGACCATTGTGGAACACTTTCCAGCACTTATGAACGGAAATGAGAACACTTTTAGTGGATAAGCCTTGACAGAAATCTCATTGTTTTTGCAGTCAAATGTTTGTCAATAGTTTGGTAGACCTGTTGTTGCTTTTAATATTCTTATGATAAAAAATAGTTGAGTATGGGTTTCTGACTAAAGATTAATCGAAGGGGTGACTGTGGGAACATATTTGTTACAATTGTTTGTCTGTTGTGGCAGCGGTTGCTTTTGTCAAACATGTGCTTGGATGGCTAGCGGTCATTTCTCCCCTCCCCCCTCTTCCCCCCCTCCCCGCATTCCTGGAAAAAAGACAAAAAAATTGTATTATAACTAGGTTGCTCTTGTTATCTAAACCAATTATATTAATTCGTCTGAGCTGTGTTTAGTTGTCTTAATGTGAAACTCCAGCACTTCTTTCCTATTAATAAAGGTTTCCAGGTATAGTTCGTCAGAAAAGCCTTTTGTCTAATAGGTGTAGGCATTATTTAGGATATGGAGGGACAAAGCTGACAGGGAATTGTCATGTGTTGCTTAGTTTTTCTTTGGAATCATTCTATTTTGTAGTGAAACGTATAACTGAAACCATACCCGTTGTCGAACAAACGTTGGCTTTGAGAAGCAAAACTTGGAATCTGAGTAAGATGAATTTGAACAGCGATGAGGTGGAGTATCTCATAAACGTTTTTATGCCTAGGACTTTGTCAGCTGCATATATCCAATCGCTGGATTTGAGCTACAAAAATTTAGAAAAGCTACCTGGCTTTTTTTTGTTCCCATTGGAGACCTTGACGTGCTTAGAAGTGAATGACAACAGATTGTCCTCTCTGCCTACAAGTATGCGATGCTTGAAAGGACTTCAAGAGGTGGACTTGAGAAATAATCAACTGAAGAAACTTGATGTGGTTAGAGAACTGCCTAAACTTAGAAAACTATTGGTTGAAGGAAATCCGCTCTCACTAGAGGAGATCAGAAGTCTTTTTAAGTATGTGGATACGACTACAAGACCGATATTCGTAGACATTGCAGGTAGTGTTACATGTATATGTGGCAATAAATCTTTTCCATTCTCGAACACAATGTTATCTTGGAGTAAGGATTGTGTGCCTTTAGCGTTGTGCTGATTTTTATCTTAACGTAGAGTTTCTGAAGGAATTTCCTTGGTCAGATTAGAGCTTCAAGTAGGTCAAGCCTGTCGTTCCGTCGTCGCGTAGAGATCCAAATTGGCGTATACAGTAGACTCTCGTTATTGAACACACCCACGAGGGGTGGGGGTTGGGATTGGGGGGAAGCTTTCGCGTCCGTAAGAGCGAGGGTCTGTAATAGCGGGCTACGAGAGAAAAAAATTGTTTTGTCTTGTAACATATGAGATAATATGTAACTACGCAAAAATAAAGTTTCTAACATGGCCTCACGAACCGGAAAAAGATCTGGCCGCAATTAAGCGGGAAATTTTCATGTTCGCACCCAATTGAAGAATGGTTTCTTTCTTTTCCTTTATAGTAATGTCGCTTTATAGTGTGTGAGTCAGGATTTTGGACGAGGTGTCCTCTATAGCAAGAGAAAAAACAATTGAAATGTCGCGCGGGGGATTGTGAAAGTGTCCGCATTTCCACAGTAGCGAGAGTCTATAATAGCGGGAGTATATTTCAGTCATTTCTTTGTGCGTTTCTCCGGGGGATGCCTCTTGTCTGCAATGGTAGGGTGTCAGTAATAGCGAGGTGTCCGTAGGGCGAGAGTCGATTGTACACTTAAAAATGCAACCTTCGCTTACTCTTTTATTTATTATGATGATTGATGCTAATATGAATCGTTGCAAGCTTCGTCTGATAATCCCTTTGTGGGCATGTTTAATTCAAATTTGCCAACCAATCGTTCTGGCTCTAGAGTCTCGGGTTGTGCACTAGAAAAAAGCGTAACCGTCGGAAGCAGGCTGGTTTTGCTGTTGAGTGCAGTGTTCTTATGTGACCTTTTTCCAGACATTTAAAATTAAAAATGGTACAATAGAACCAGGCTTGCTCACTCTAGATTTAGCTGAAATTTTAAAAAAAATAATTTTCTCTTCTACCGAAAACATTTAATCTTCCAACAGTTGATACGACTTTCATGGTAGTTAATTTTAGTAATGTACTCCTTGTATTACATGTATCACCCTCCACTTAACAATTGGTTCATACGTCAGCGTGTGTTCATCGAGATATGAAGCACGCGGGAAGTTTGTAGAGTACAAAAGATCCCAATTGCTTCATATCTCGATGAACGCACAGCTGATGTATGAACCAATTGTCTTAAAACATTTTCAACCCGATAGTTTAAATGTTGTAAAAGGGTTACTACCGTTACTCCCTCTGCTACGCTTCAGCACGTTCGCTACGCTGTAAATGATCTTGTCTTAGATTGGTCAAAAAACTCACAGGTGAATTCATGCGTGTAAATGAACTTTATTTTCTGATTGAATACAAAATTCTCTCATTCAAAAGAAAAACAAAGATGCTGTTTGTTGGCTGACGTCATGAGCGTGCACAGTAGGAATATGAAGCACGCTCACGCAATTGAATTTGATTAGACAAAGTTACCACCTATGTCATAAAAGGTCATGATGTATCATAGAAATGTTCTTTGTTTCTCACTTTACTGTTCTACAATAGGTAATTAGTGCAATATTACATTTTACTTTTCCCTCACTTGCAGCTGTAGCTCCTCCTGAAATTTTGGCGCAAGGACATTCCGCAAGACTGGTTTATGAAGAGGCCCTTAGAGATGGATTTGTGAATGTTTATCGCGGTCGCATAGTATTGGTTGGCCAGGATCGTGCCGGTAAAACAAGTTTAAAGAAGACTCTCTTAGGTCTTCCATTTGACTTCAAGGAACAAAGTACGGCCGGGATCGAAATTGAGCCATCAAAGTTCGAAATTGAAGTTGAGCAAATTAAGAACTGGACTCCTAGTTGTGCGAACAAGTCAAGTTTGTCTGATTGTTTGGAATATACAACGGGTATGGCAAAACTGTTAGCGACAGAAAGGTATCACATGATTGTTCGTGATGACAAGGAAGACTCGGAAATGAAATCAGTAGGGGCACAGCCTAAGGAAGAACGCAGAGTGGAGTCAGGAGATGAATTGCACACAAAACATGTTGTCGCCGATCAGGTCCGTTTACTATGTTTTTACTCTGAAACCCGACTTTTTATGAATGATCTCAAACGAATTCGCACATTTAATGCTCATTTCATTGTTTTGACATAACGAGATAGATCGATATCTACTGTGCAAATGAAGATGCATGAACAGTATTAATATTTCGTCTTATTTCAAAATGTTAGGCTTCCATGTACGAGGATACGGCCACAAAGTTTCCAGATAGATCCGGGCCATCAAGCGAATTTCATGAAGGAGATAATCCGAGCACAAAGTCCAAAATAGCTATCAACGCCACCGTACTTTCTAATGCCGTTGAAAAACAGGCTGATAAACTCTTAAAGAACATGATCGTTGAAGGTGTGGATGCTGATCGTGCATACATTGAGAAAGGATCCTCGATAACCGCAGATTTGTGGGATTTTGCGGGTCAGCAAGTGTACTATGCTGCTCACTCGGTATTTCTTTCGCCAAGAGCTGTGTACATCGTAGTTCACAACCTTAACAAGCCACTGAATGCCCGAGCTGAGCCATGTGCCAGACAGGGAACTTATGAAGTAACTTTGGAGAACCCAAACAATGAGACAAATCTAGAGAATTTGCTGTCGTGGCTCGTGACAGTTCATAATATGAGACCAACTGGAGAAGAAATGGTTGAAACGCCTAACGTGCTGCCCTATCTCCGACCTCCAGTGTTCATTGTTGGCACCCATGCTGACGAGCCATATGAAGATACTAAGGATGTTACATCCAAGATACTTCGTGAGATTTCTAGTAAGGAATATGGAAAACATGTGATCCGACCATTCTTCTACATTGATAACACTCAAAGAGACAAGTCATTTGCGCAGAAAATCTGGAATTGCTTTAAATTTCAAAGAAATGCTCAAGCAGGTAAATCATGTGTTTGGGTTCAACATGATGTGTTAATGAAGTTGGGTTTACTTTGATTTCTATCGCGAACAGACAAACGTATCGTTAGATAAAGTTGATTGGATTCACTGGAGATTTACCGGTTGCTTTTCCACATCTTATTGTTAGCATCCATTTGTCCCAATCTGGATATTTATCTACTTTTGATGTTGGCACCTTGTTAGTGCTTCGGTTATTCTTTTTAGTATGTATTTTCTCTATTTTCTTTTGTTGCTTTTTTTTTATTAACCTGGATTGCCTATGTAAATACTATTGCGAATGCTTTCGTTGACCAAATTATCTTCAACTAGTGAAATTTATAATAAATTGCAATGATAGTGACTCAAAGTGCTGCAGCAGAAATAGACCTTTCCGAATACGAAACTGGGGATCATGATCTTAGTTGCAATCAAACTTGTATCGAAAGTCCAAGGAGAAATCTCTGCCCCACCGTGGCTTCTCTCAACAGTACTAATTGTTTCACACAATTTATAATTGAAAGGTCAAGAAAGAGACAATGATGGCACTAGTGCCGATGGAATTCATGCTCTTCGAGCGAGAATCCTGGAAGTACTTCGACAGGAACCTTATATGGGAGAGAAGATACCAGTGAGGTGAAGTACTGATGTATAATATTATAAAAGAGATGTTCAGCTCATTTTTTTTCTAACAATAGCTGTACTGAAACGTACGAGTGGCGTTCACAGCCGGTTCCGCTGCTTGTCGAGTTCGCTACGTTCGAGTTTGCCACATGTTTGCTACTTACATGCCGAATTCGCTACTTCATCCTACCATTCTATGCTCACACCATGAGCATAATTTACCAATTCCCACAAACGATTTACGGGAACTTTTGCGGCTCATACTTGAAGAAACTTCTTTCAAGTTCAACGAAAGATTATTCATACAAACACATGGCATCGCCATGGGAACTAACACACCAGCTGCTTTATCTGCTACTTTATGGCAGACCTAGAAAAACGACTGTTAATGGCTAGCCCCTCTAACCTTTGGTCTGGAACAGATTTATTGATGAAATTTTTCATTGTGGGACATTTCTATGAAAGAAGCTTACAATTTTGTTGACCTCGCCAATTCGTTCCACCCCACAGTCAGGTTTACTGTGAAACGTAACCTCGCAACAATCAAAAAAATCAACGAGGCGGTTAAAAGCAAACTAGAAGGAAATGTGCACATGATCAGTTTAACTGACTCCTAAAAACGTCAATCACGCAATTGGGAGTATAAATTACAGATATTGCTTGTTGTTTACTGTTAAAAGAGAAATTAAAAATCTTAATTAACAGAGGCAGCGAATTCGGCATGTTATCAAGGCATATTCTAAAGTTACATTTAGAAATTTCCAAACTTTGCTACATGCAATTTGCTATCTGATGTATACCTTTCTGTTACTTAGACTAATTATAATTTTTTTATATTTCTAGATGGTTTAACTTCGAAAAGGTCATTGAAGCTTTGGTAGCTGAGAATGTATACCACTCAAATACTGTCCATCTTCAAACCTATGCCAAGGATGTATGTTTTATAGAAGACGATGAACAGTTTCACACCATGTTGAATTTCTATCACGACTTAGGTTTGATTGTGAAACACCGCAGTACAGTCATTCTGAAGGCACAGTGGTTAATCAGTCTATTCAAGAAGCTTATAACCATCCCAGCATTCAAAAAAGCGGTAGGAAAAGATAATCTTCTATGCATCTAGATGATTGCAGATCGTAGGCAGGATTTGTTACCATCCCCCAACTTGCGCTTGACGAAAAAATTTTAATTTAATTGACTGTTTGTCCGTTTTTTTTTCACGTTGTTTACACCCCTTACAACATTTTGAGTTTTCTCCATAACTTTCATGTGTCTCCCACTCTCCCTCATTTCAATATTGACAAAATGGTCACTAATTTATTACGACATCGTTTGAGGGTGGGGAGGTAAGGGGGAAATTCAATAAACTAATTAGAGATGAATAACAAGATTTTTCTTATTATGTTGACTCATTTCGGGAGGCTTGCCAACTACATTTTACCACTCATTGTACCCTTAGTAATGAGGAAAGGAGAGATGTTTTTGGTCCGCTGCAAATTAAATGGGGCATTTTTAAAGAAAAATTGGTAGATTGAACTTATTTCAAATAGGGAATTTGTGGTTTCAGGATCCTGTGCATTCCAAGTACTGGCTGCAACTCGAGACAAGTGGTGTCCTTACGATGGAGCTTGTTGATCACGTTTTTTCCCCTCTTATTGAGCAAGGCGTTATCAAGGAAGACATCTTGGACATGATGGAGCAGTTTTGTTTGATTGCCAAATACTCACCATCCCCGGCTGACGTTTATTACTTTGTGCCATGTCAACTGAGGTCCTCACCTGAAGAGCTTTGTAAAATGGAACCATCATCTACGGATCCTTGTCCTTTGTATCTTCATTTCCAAGAAGGCTTTGTTCCGCATGGTCTTTTTACTCGCCTTGTTTCAAAATCGGTTGCTTGGTGTGGTGCAAATGGATCGTCACAGCCTCCAAAACTCTACCAGAATGGTGCATGGTTCATTCTTGAAGAACGCGTCATACATGACATGATTATGATTTGCAAAAAGAAGTTCATAAAAATCCTCTTGAGACAAAGAATTAAGAGGAACGTAGTTGCAGTTTCTAATGCAACTTTGGTAGAAGTTGCTAGAAGTGTGCGATTGTTTATGGAGAGCACTTTAGAAAAGATGTCGCAGGAGTTCCCATACCTGAGCAGGATGCAGCATGAAGGATGAAATGACTAAATTAAGTTTCCTTAAAGGTAACTTAAAGGTTAACATTAGAAGTATTTAAGGCATCTTTAGGTGACATACGAAAGTTCTGAAATGAATCTTTAATTGAACTTTCAGAAGTCAATTAAAGTCTCCTTATGAACCATTTCGTGAACACTTTAGGATCACATGAAAGTAAACCTAAATAACCATTTAATTGACTTTAAGAATCCTCCTAATTCTCGTAAACTCGTCTTTAATTGCCAAAACTTCTACTTGTAAAGGCAACTTAAAGGTTTCTTTAATCTTTTGTTTCCCTTTAAGTACTACTTAAAGTTGCAGGTTTTGTTGTAATTCATCTTTAGTTGTACTTTCAGGTCCTCTTAAATTTCAAGTTTTGTTAAAATTCATCATTTAGTGACCTTTAAGTGCCTCTAAAAGCTGTAGGTTTCACCTTAAATTGACTTTTGATTTGCTTAATCACACCCACATTTATATTATGATAACTTATAATATTTTGGGAAACTTCTAAATTGTTAGAAAAAGAGACATCACACATACAAGTAATTACAGAATGTTTGAAATTGCAGTGATGAAATAGTTTCGTTCAAAACTCACTTCCTCCCCTGAGATAGAGTAAACCCACAATAAAGCTGAGGATATCTCATTTGAGGCACATACATAATTAAAAAAGAGACATCCAAATGTTTGAATTACTAATTGTCATACTTTATTAAGATTGTTTCTCTTTCATTAATGTATAATTCATATAATCTCAGTCATCTATATAGAATAGAATAGAATCTTTATCACTATAAAAATATAAGAACTACAGAATATAACTAGCTGTAGCAACACACTACACAAAAAGCTATTAATTCACAAATTTCACTCTCAAATCCAGCCACTAAGAAATGCAATTTGAACTGATACTAACAATAAAAAATAAGTTCAACCTATCAATCTAAAAAATCAGTATATTTTTCTAAATCAATTTAAATTTGTGATAGCTATCAATTATTTGCCGACCTGTACATCAATATGGAAAAAAGTATCTCATATGGAGGAAATTAAATACAAAATTGAAGAATTCACAATTACTTACTTTAGATAATGAGACCATTAAAATTGCTAATTAACATATTCAATGAAAAAGAAGTCTCACGCAGGCATGTAAAAGACCTTCATTCTAGACATGGCTGATTAATACTTTTTTCAACAATCAATTTGTCACCTTAAATTGATAAAACAATTTTTTTTACTGCCTTATTGCCCACCCTGGAAAATTTTCAGTTGGTGGGCATCTCAGGGAAGGTTGCCCATCAACTCTGGGTAGGATTCTCTCCTTAGCTCTTGAAGTGAGTTTTTTCTTATAGGCCTTATCAAGTTTTTTTTTTATTTTTTTCATTCTTCTACTCTCCCATTGAAGGCGATGGACAGAGTATTTTGTTAATTTTGAGTTATTTATATTATCATCCTCGTAACAGCTTTCTTCACTGCTCATCGCCTCCATCACAAGAACCTCCGCCACTCTCCCCTTTTCATGCTGGTCAGCCCAGTTGACCAGCTCCATGGCTGTAGTTCGTCTCATTAACTTCTGAAAAAACAAAAATATACAACAAGCATGAGAAGGGTATTATAAGACCTCAAATGGAAAATATGATCCAAATTACTAATTTCTCTTGATATGCATGTGCACACAGTGTAAGAATGGAATTCCTAAGCATGTTATACTATAGAGTCTCCTTGTCCTTTATTTTTCATCAAATGGTCCATACAAGCTATCATTGATCTCAAATCACATCTTTATATTTTTCATTCTTTTCCTCAACTACAGACTACTCAACTACATCCATCTTTAAAATAATATTATACAATTACCAAATTTACTTTACAAAGATTTTCTTTGTAAGGAAGGCTCTAGATACAGACTAGAATACATAATTCATTTAACAATTGCTCTCATAGGCACAAAACAATTTTGACAGGACACAGTCCCTTAAAAGTGTCTATACGCTAAGCCATCCAATTTTGAAGTGGCAAAAAAAATGCATTCAGTGGGAAACAGCAGGGTATATGAAAATAAAATGTTAAAATAGTATCCCAATAAATACCTCTCTTTGGCGACCACTCTTTCTTGTTTTTTGTTTATGTGCCTCATAGCGATTACTGCTCTTCAGCTTATGTGTTTCTAGGCACGTTTTAAAATATCTTTGTAAAGCAGCTGTTCAAAGAAATAATTATCAAAATGCCATGAGAAGTTGATTATAAAAAGATTCCCATATAAATAAATGACAATGTTCAAATTTATAATCATTTATGGCTGGCCGCATAGGAATATTTGCCAAGTTATATAAATTTGCAGTATGTCCTTGGTGATTCATTGCTAAGGTGTGAAGTAAGCTTTGTTGAGGATTTACACTGAATTTAATGTTTCAGAGACAAGAAATTAACCTGAAAGTTCTAGTTTGCAACATATTTAAATTTCTGCAACATTTGAGAAAGTTATTATGTAAATTAGGAAAAAATTAAAAATATACCCTTCCTCTTGTCCCAAATTTGAAACATATAATGAGGGTGCTCATTAGAAGTTGCATGATATCTAACTGTGTTACTGAATGCTAGTTCTATGATGAAATTTTTGTTGAGGGAAAAGTGGTTAAAGACACTAACTGATGGTACAGACTAAAAGCAGGGGTATCTTTAAGGACTGGGCTCTAGACAAATTGACCAACTGTGAGCGCGATTTTGTCTGGATGTTTTTAAGCCAAGGCCTTCAGTGAAACTCAACTTGTTATAAAAGAGATATACATCAATACGCTTAAGTGCCAAATTCTTATGCCCACCTGCAAAAAATCATAATGACACCCCAATGAAAGTGAAATGCATGTGCTATGATTATTGATAGCTACCTTCAATGATATCCTTTGTCCAGGGACACTTTTCAGGTCCTCCCTGTTGATGTACAACCTGCTCTACTGTGCGCTCAAAAATTCCATAGTTGTTATCAGAATTTACTCTGAGACAAGAACAAACACCGTGATTAAGCCACGTATTCTGTTTTAACAGTATTAACACTTAGACAAAAGCAACAACAATAAGGTATTCACATAACATCTCAATATTTCTAGCAGCAGCTTAGACTCTGATTTCACGGTTTAATCAATATAAAGTAAAATATCTTTGAATATAATAACATGTTACTCACTCTTCGTCAAGATAAAATCCACCAAAGTCGTCTTTTTTTAAAAGAAGTTTATATATCCTTCTCACAGCTCTCTAAAAGATTGAAATAATTTCAACAATCAATTTGTCACCTTTCCCCTATTTCTACTTCCACTCTTTTTACACAAGTACAATTAACCTTACCCATCTGTGTGATTAAAACAGGGAAAGTCAAAAGGGTTCAAGAGAAAAGATAATAACATGAATTTTCGTACTGGATTATTCTCGTTGAAAGAACAGGGAGGAAAAAACCTTTCTGGTAGACCTGTTTATGGTAAAGGGGATTATCAAGTAAATGTAACCACACATAATTATGCCAAATGATTACCGCCTAAATAATTGAGTTATGCATATAATTTGCGCGCCAAACACGTACTCAACATAAAAGCAAATCTTCCACGAAACAGAACTGAATTCAGCAAATCATGAACATATATATGCTCATCAGTTAAGTTTTTCTACTCACTCGACAAGCTGGTGGAACTACTATCGTCCTTCGCTTCTGTCTATTTTGGCGCCGACGGACTTTGGCTCCATTATCACCAGTTTCAAGACGGTTCTCAATCCGCTGAAGAGCCTCTAAGTTTGATTTGTTGCTGCACTCTTGCTGCTGCCGCAGCTTTTCATTTTCGCTCGCCAGAGCCCGGTTGCTGCGGATCAATTCCTCCAGCAGTACGATGCATTCTTCGGACATGTTACTATTTCTAATTGCCGCTGGAACCGCATTATCATCTTGATTTTGTCCACGATCGTTTACTCGTCTTTCTGCCATTTCCTTCGCTTACTTTCCCTAACCCTGAATTAACTGTAAAATAAACAGACAACAATCGCTTCGTTCGGATGCTTTGTTAACAGAGTCGTCAACGGAATTGAGATTCAAAAAAGCGCGCGATTATCCTATACCAAACCTGGAAGGACCTCCTGTTGATATTGTGCCTCGTTGTGATATACACTGTACCGAGTGTACTGGGCCTAGCTAACGCTGGCGAGTACGAATGAAGACTCAAGTGTAATTGGAAGCAAGGAAACACGGAGGCCTTTTGTGGCGGGAAAACTTCTACTACACGTTCGATCTTCACTTGTTCAAGCAAACAGCTTTGTACCGATACCTAAATTTCATCAAGGTAAGTTGTTCATATATCTGAAAATCTAGCCGTGTGAAGGTAAAGGATATCTTGTAACAAAGGAAATTTATCTAAGCGGCAAGTCACGGCATCGACGTTAATTAATTCGATGATATTTCTTGTGCAAGAAAGTGATTTTGTTGTGTAATGATATGTGATCGACGCTTTATACAATTGTGAATTGTTTTCTTTTAAGTGTGATCAGAACAATTACGATAGCAAGCTTGTGATAAAAAAAGCTTGTATGTATGGCATGCAAACAGAACTCAGTCGAGAACAAATAAGTAGGGGCAGGGGTGGGAGGTAATATACTTTTTTGAAATAGCGGGTTACTTTTCAACAGTGGAGGATATATACATTTTTATTTTGACTAGAAAGGAATGAATAACAAGATAAGCTCAATTTAATACAGTCAAATCAATAACAATACAACCAATACTGTAGAATTTTTCTTTCGTGGGAGGAGAGAGGAGTGGGCTTATTAGGGTAAAGACATTTTAGTCAGGAGGCCTTGATAGATATGGGGTACCTAAAGAGCAGTTGTGGCATTGAGCTCGCATGAATACTGGAGTATGGTCATTAAAAACCTCATGTCAGTGCCATTTAAGGAATGTAAGCTTCATTCCTTGATTGTATTTTGAATTTAAAACTTTTAAGTAATCATACATGATACTTGTTATGAACATAAACATCAAGGACACTTTTGAAAGTTTGGCAATGGGAAAAATTTGCATTGCAATTAGGGATTAAAGTATGTCTTAATTCTTAACTGATTGTCATCTCCCTAATAATAGCTGGTCTGGTTGACCATTTTTTTAGGTTGTGATGAGTAATATCAATCAAATATGCTGAATCTGCCTGGTGTTGCAAAATGGTGACTAGTTTCAGAGTTTCAGGCAACATTGTTTTGGGGGGGGGGGGAGGTGGGACTTGCAAGAAACTTATTAAGGAGTTTATTTCAAGATTTAATTTTTACTTTGTTAAGTGTAAGGTTGTCAACCACCAAGTAAGGGGAGAGCAGGGTGCTGAGTACTTTGGCCATGAGTTTTAGCTTCTTGAATGTCAGGTTTTTTCCAAATTGTGGAAATTCCATACAAGTTGCAGATTACAAGTGAGAGGTTTTTAGTCATCTTAATGCTCCTGGATCATTGTGAGTGACCACATTATTTTTACTAAGCATTTTTTGGCTTTCTGATAAACATTTACTCAGTCCAAAGTAAAATAAGATATGCTTAAGGATATATAAAGAATATAGAATATCAATGCTTGGTTCAGGCTCCAGAGACAAGTGTCAAAAAAAATTTTTTGACAAATTATACATAAGTAGACAAGACAGGCTTTACACACAATTTTCATGCATTTGAATGTATGGCTTCTAAACTGAAAGTAGGTTTGAGTATGTTAGGTTTTTCAAAATGTGGAATCTTTCTGCAAGGTTTGGGTTGTGAGTGACAGAGTTTTAGTCAGATCTTAATGCTCCTGGATCATTACAAGTGACCACATTTCTGTTACATTTACATTTTTTAACTTTGTGATATTGTTGTTTCCTTTGAAAGTGGGTATAGACATGACAAAATCTTCCAATAACATAGGCTCTCATCACTTGGTACAGTCCCAAACTGAACAACTGTTCATATGTAGACTAGTCAGTTGTTACCACAATTTTCTTGTGCTACAATTGTTGAAAGTAGGTTTCAGCCTGTCAGGTCTTTTTCAAAATATGTAATCTTAATGCATGGTACAGCTTACGAGTGACTGCTTTTTGGTCACTGGGCAAAACCAACTGTTTTGTACATGTATTTTTGTGCTGGCTTTTCTTCCCTCTGCATTTATTTCATTACCCAAAATAAGGGAGGGGGGCCCTCCCCTAGATCTGCCACTGGGTTATAAGCACACGTCATTTACTTCAAGCACTCTTCTTTTTCAGCTTGAGGATCATGTTTCAGAAGAAGACATTTCACTTCCAATGGACAAGTTGGATCACAGAGAGCTAATGGTATCTTGTGTAGGATAGTGAAAGAAAAAACATTAGAATTTGAGTCCCTTGTGAGGATTCAAACCTCATGCAGCCAGCCCAGAGAAGGCAATCCCAGCTGGGTGGAGAGTTTTGTGCGCTCCTCTCAGTGCTTGTTTATTTTTGCGTCCCGAGGAGAGGTGCAGTGCAGATTGCCCATACTTCGGTCTTACCCTTTGGTACCTCGGCAATGATATGCTCGTATCGTTTTTATTTTTATGCTTTATGGTTCCTACTTTTTTTTTTTATTTGATACGTGCACTGAGCCGTTAAATAGGTCTCAAACCTGGAGGCCAGACCCATTTCGGTTGTCGGCTGTAACCACCAGAGGACTGTGTCTGTATTCGAGCAGGGATTTACTTTTCTCTTTTCTCTGGCACACTTGACATTCAGAGTCAAAGGAATGCAAAACAACTATAGCCAAGTTGAAGAGTATCTGCTTCTTAACTGAACAACATCAAAAAATTATGGCATTAGCAGAACTGAATGGTGACTGAAGCTTTCAGAGCTTAACTTGAGAGGGGCCACAAGAAGTAACTGTCTATGTTATATCAGTCAAAAATCAGTTATCTCTCATACATACTGGTTGTAAGGTTTTAAAAATGTCAGTTTTTCAGTAAGTGGAATCTCAATGCCTAGCACAAGCTGCAAATGTCAAAATCCATATATTGCCAGGCTCCAGGAAGATGTAAGTGGGTATAGACATTCAACTCTTTCAAGAACAAACTCTCTCTCTCTCTATTGTCATTTTTTTGTTTGAGACTCTCTCTACATACATACTTGTTGTAAGGTTTTAAGAATGTCAGGGTTTCAGTTAGTGGAATCTCAATACCTAGCATAGGCTGCAAAGGTCAAAGTTCATATATTGCCAGGCCTCAGGAAGATGTGGATAGGTTATGACCACATTCATTTCTCTAAACCTAGATATTTTGTTCCAATTTATTTTGTTTAGTATTGTTTTTGGAGTTCGGTACAGACTGCAATTGACAACTTTCTGAGTAATTTTTTTGAGACAGTCTTAATCTCTGGTCAATTTAGGTTCTTTCCTATAATTGTTCTTTTAATACACTGTATGTATGAAGTCTTTTGTTAAAGGCTCTTTGTCGCAATGCTCATTCATTTTATTTTTCAAGGCTTTGAAGTACATGTAACAGAATCTGAAATTTGGAACGTTGAATGATGCTGTGTAATATTTAGGTTAATGCATGCATACACAGACTCTCTGGAGTCGCAGTCTTTTAATCTGAAGAATATTTCATTTGTTATTATGAATCTACCTGTTCACAGATGAATTTCAGAAAACAATATTTTAACTTGTATACTATGTGCCCCTATTTACCCATTTCACCCCCTAAGATCTCAATATTATTTTTCTAAATGCCTTTCATACAGTTTTTTTGATATATTTGTGAGGATATTGATGTATTGCTAGTGTGTTAGGGAGAGTTGCTTATTGACCAGTCCATGAAGTAAAAGGGTTGGGAACTCCACGTGTTGGGTTTCCAACTGAAACAAAGGCCTCATTTCACTTTATTGTAATAGAATGTAATTATAAACTGACTATACCGTGCCAAGGTCACATTTTGTTCAATTTTGTACTGGAAAGCATACTACTTACTTGTACTGGAAAGCATACTACAGAATCTACTTGTTCATAAAAGATGGAAGCTGGAACCTTAAGTGGAATCTTTTGAGGAAAGAGATCACAGTTAATCTAAAAGCAATCTTAACTGTATGAAATTATTGGATATTTACCTAGTAACCAGCTGAAGTTTAGAAATACAGTCGAATATTCTTATTACCACAAACTTTTAAAAGCAATTAGGACTTTCCTCTGTGTAAAGATACTTACTATTTCTAATACGATGCTCCCTTTACTTGAAATTTCTTGAAACAAATCACGGGAATTTGAAGTCGACCCGAAAGTATCTGTCAAGTTCGACTTGTTACGTTTTCGCTCATGCCTTTCGAAAGTTGAACGTGACACGAAGTCATTACAATGAGCGCAGTAAATATATCCTTTCTTGTCATCGCACTCCATGCGTTCTATAAAGGAGATGCGAAAATGAAAACCCGTTGCTTTCAATTCAGATATTTTGACAAAATTTGCCGCTGCACATGGAACAAAATTTGCTGTTCCTGTCCGACGCAAGTACTGGCTAATTTGTGATGCATTTCCTATTGACAGTTCAGATTACAATTAGACTATCTTTAATGCGTCAATTAAAGATGTCAAAACAGCGAGACTCGTTTAATTCTCACCTCAAAGGTTAACTAAATGTATATTAATTAAAAACCTTCTTTTGTGCCAAAAAAGAGACCACTTAAAGGATGCTAAAAGATTTACGTTATTAAAGTTCACCTTATGTTCAATTAAAGATTCATGAAAGGTAACTGTTAGCTTTTGGATATTTCGGTTTACAATTAAAGACGCCTAAAGCTTAAGTCAACCTTTAGGGATGCTTTCGGTTTTGCCTAAAGGCACTGAAATAAGAGCATTCGTCCTGTACTCTAGATCAGTGGTCAATTATATATATAATTGACCACTGATCTAGAGTACAAAAAGATATATTTGTTAGCTAGTGGGGAAGATTCCATCACATTTTTATCCCTCGGCGACATGAAGCAAACAAGTTCAATAGTCGGTATACCCTTCTTGAGAGGGGTTAGGTTATGTCCACTTAAATTCCCTTGCGCATTATAGGTATTTAAACACGTTATGTGTTCTTATGTAATCATAAGAGGTACTTTTATTAACAATTACAGATTTTTAGGCCGATAAAATAAATAAAAAAGTTGCTTGGTAATTTATTTGCTGAATTGTTAAACTTGCTCTGGCTATAAGTGAAGAGTGGTTGTTTTACATTAACTATTGCGTGATCGTGTCGAAACGAATAATAATGTCGATAATGGTGTCAAACACAAAGCGATTACTGTACAAGGACCCACCACGAGGTAAGAGACATGTGCACAGATTGTTTACATGTTCAGATTCTCCGAATGTCGAGGCTCGTGCATCAGCACTATTGGTAGGAACCTCAAAACAACTCCTATTGCAACCATACGAGCGCTTACAAATGGTGATGTCAGCAGCTGTTCAACCGTTTTAGGGACTTAGGCCACAACCAAATAGGGAGCTAAAGTCTTTCATAACAACCCACAGTTGGTCGTAATGTAATCAGCTAATCTCAATGCTTTTGTTTCTATTGGCATTTGATGTGTTAAGTATTACTACACACCACACCCTTAGTGTGTGCAGCCAACCATTAAGGCAGTGGAAAAGGCTGGAATGGTTTGCAGTGTCGGACTACTAGAAGTAACCTCGCCTCTTTGGAACATCTCTTTTTTTAATAAATGACAAAACACTACAATTTTCAAAGAAAACCAACAAGTTAGGCTGTTGGTCTTAGCTTTCACGACTAAAATATTCTATTTTTTGGAGTTTATTCGTTTTATTTGCATGGCCGGTGCTAGTTAGAGAAATTTCTTTTTTATACTGCAAACCTGGTAATTGACCAATGAACACTTTTACTCTGACAATTTTCAAAGCAACGCTATAAATCCAACGCAAAACTAGCTGGAAAATGATAAGGAACTTCTCTAAATTCTTGTTAATTCTAATATACTCGAATACTATCGAACGACAACAAGTTGTTTAATAATTTAGTTACTAATAAGTCAAGCCACAATCGTGTTGAAAGAGGAACCTTACGTTTTAGCTGACCACTGATCTAGAGTACAAAAAGATATATTTGTTAGCTAGTGGGGAAGATTTCATCACCTTTTTATCCCTCGGCAAAGTAAACCAAACAAGCTCAGTAGTTGGTATACCCTTCTCGAGAGGGTATACCAGAGCAGGTTTAACAATTGAGCAAATAAATTACCAAGCAACTTTTTGATTTATTTTATCGGCCTAAAAATCTGTAATTGTTAATAAACATACATTAACTATTGCGTGATCGTGTCGAAACAAATAATAATGTCGATAATGGTGTAAAACACAAACTGATTACTGTAAAAGGACCCACCAACATGTAGTAATAGACATGTGCACGGATTGTTTAGATGTTAAAATTCTTCGAATTCCCAGGCTCGTGCATCAGCGGTATTGGTAGGAACCTCAAAACAACACCTATTGCAACCATACTAGCGCTTACAAATTGTGATGTCAGCAATTGTTCAAGCTAAATCCAGGATACATCCCCATTTTTTGGCCTCTTTGAACCATCTTTTAGTTTAATAAATAACTAACACTGCAATTTTCAATCAAACCATCAAGTTAGGATGTTAGTCTTAGCTTTCACGACTATATATTCTATTTTTCTAAGTTTATTTGTTTTATTTGGATATGGGAGATTTCCTGCGTGGCCTGTGCTAGTCAGAGAAATTTCTTTGTTAATTGACTGATGTACAATTTCTCTCCAACAATTTCCAAAGGAACGCGATAAATCCGACGCACTACTAGCTGAAAAATGATAACGAACTTCGAAAAATATGGCAGAAACTGCTAAGAAAACGTTGAAAATCATTTTCAATCTTCTATGGCCGGTGCTTGTCAGAGAATTTTCTTTTTTATACTGCAAACCTGGTAATTGACTGATGTACACTTTTTATCTGACAATTTCTAAAGCAACGCGATAAATCCAACGCAAAACTAGCTGAAAAATGATAATAAACTTAGAAAAACATGGCACAAAATGCAAAGATAACGTAACAACAACAAGTTGTTCAGCTTGTGAGTAGGAAGACTAAAAGTTCATAGCCGACATACATATTTTTACTGTAAAATCTTTCTCCAAATTCTTGTTAATTCTAATATACTCAAATACTATCGAACGACAACAATTTGTTTAATAATTTAGTTACTAATAAGTCAAGCCACAGTCGTGTTGAAAGAGGAACCTTACCTTTTAGCTGACCACTGATCTAGAGTACTAGAAGATATATATGTGAGCGACTGGGGTTCCGTCACGATTGTGTCCCTCGACGACGTAAACCAAACAAGTTCAGTAGTCGATATACCCTTCTCGAGAGGGGTTAGGTTACGTCCACTTAAATATCCTTGTCCATTATAGGTAATTAAACACGTTATGCGTTATTATGTAATAGAATTTATTTGCTGAATTGCTAAACCTGTACTGGCTATAAGTGAAGAGTGGTTGTTTCACATTACCTATTGCGTGATTGTGTCGAAACGAATAATAATGACGATAATGGTGTAAAACACAAACCGCTGACTGTACAACTGACAGAAAAAAGATTAAAAAAACTTGCAATAGCAACAATTTTAACTGAAATCAGGGAATATCTTTTCCTAGGGAATTGGGTAACAACCAGATAAAGGAGCTGCCACCTGGAGTCTTCAATAAAAACACTGAGTTGATCTCACTGTACGTAACCTGCCTGTTCTGATAATAGCCTTTGATGTTCCAAGAGTTTAATCTTATTATTACCTAAATGTGATCACGAAGGTCCTGAAGCTTGGTAGGTGTAGTCAGCCATGAAGAGGGTGAAAGAGTGTGGGACAGCTCATACATGGACGGAGTTACACAGAAAAGAGTAACCTGCCTTAATTACACAATCCTTTCAGTTTCATAAATGATCATATCTTAGCGTCTGACGTTTGTCCACGTTTAGTAAATTCCATTTTCTATTCCTTTTATAACTTTGTTTTATTTGCCAGTATGAAAAGGGGATTTCAAGTATTCTCTCTCAGAACAGGCTTTGCACTTCGCACTTCTTTTCACACCAATACTACAGTCAAATGCGAACAAGATTTATACTCTGCCAAGGATTGTTGAAACAAAGCTTTCTTACCTTACAGTTGGTTACACGGCAACAAGATCAAGAATTTGACCAGCAATGCATTCTCCCAGTTAATTAAGCTGCAGTGGCTGTAAGTGACAAGTCGTCCTCGTATGTAACCTATTACAAGTGTCACAACTCACATCATTATCCAAATAGTGCATATTCCTTTTCATCGATCACATCCTTCAACCCTTAAATATCTGCGTAGCACAGAGACCGATAAAGAACGCCCGCAACCAATGATCAAAGATATAACGGCTAAATCTAACAACAGACAAGATCTGGGTAACAAGAACAGATACTCCAAAATCTTCTACGCTGCATGCTCTCGTCACCCCAAAGGTAGTCGAAATGCAATCCAAATTAAAGCGCTGTAACACGTAGCAGTAAAGCAGTGGTCGAATAAAACATCGAAATACAAACTGGTGGAATACAAAACTTAAATATCCCAGCTCACAACTTAACATATCCTGGTTTCAATCTCATTTTCAAAGTTATCAATCCTGTTACATTCACAAATTGTTAAGAAGGAAAAAATTAGTCTTTTATCGCCAAATCATGGTCCTGAGTTTTACCAGATATCTGGATGGCTTAATTTTCATGTTCCATTACATTGCAGAGGAACAAAATTTACCTGCTAATTTACAAGACAATAATATTGAGAAGTTACGTGGTGATATATCCATGGGTTCAGCTGCCGAACTATCAATTTGAAACCCAGTTTGTAATTCTTTAAAAATATATTTAAAAAAAAATTTTCGAAACATTTTAAAAACAAATTTTCAAAAACTAAACTAGTGAATAGTTTTCTGCGAACAGTAGTTGTGAAACTTGTTTATTCTGCGACATGTTTCGTCTAAACGTTGGCCCCCAAATATTTTCTCACAACTTCGAATGTTTCTGTTTGTAAGTCCGGCCGAGCCTATATGATCATTGGGCCCAGTAACAACCATAGTATGACTTATAAATACAAGCCTTTAGCATTAATCCGCAAAATTCCCTTAAGAAGTCTACGAGAGTAAGAATTAAGAAGAATAAAGAAGTTTTACAACTACTGTTCACAGAGTGCTGCTCATTAGTTTAGCTCTCAAAAAATATATTTATTTTTCACTCGACAGGATAAGAATTGTTGCACTAAACACTTCTACATTATATTTTTTGCCGTTTGTTTAGTAATCGATGAGTTTTAAAAGCGCCTTATAAGCATAAGCGTGTGTTTGATGCGGGCACGACACAAATAAACTGTCAATCCAACAGACAAAATAAAATAAAAAAAACCTGCAATAGCAACAATTTCTAAAAAGTAACACTTTTAACTGAAATCAGGGAATATCTTTTCCTAGGGAATTGGGTAACAACCAAATAGAGGAGCTGCCACCTGGAGTCTTCAATCACAACACTGAGTTGATCAAACTGTACGTAATCGATTTTCTTGGCTCTTGTGATGATAGCCTTTGATGTGGCAAAATTTTAGTCTCATTATTAACTTAAAGTGATCAAGAAGGTCCTGACGCTTAGTGGATGTAGTGACCATGAAGAGAGTGAAAGAGAGTGGCACAGTTCATAGGTGGACGGAGTTAAACATAAAATAGTAATCTACCCTCATTAACAATCCTTTCAGTTTCATTAATGATCATATCCTGGCATCTGACATTGGTCCGCGTTTTGTAAATTCCATTTTTTATTCCTTTCATAACTTTGTTTTATTTGCCAGTACGAAAAGGAGATTTCAAGTGTTCTCTCTCACAACAGGCTTTGCACTTCTTTTCACACCAATATTATACTTTGCTAAGGATTGTTAAAACAAAGCTTTCTTACCTAACAGTTGGTTATACGGCAACAAGATCAAGAATTTGACTAGCAATGCATTCTCCCAGTTAATTAAGCTGCAGTGGCTGTAAGTGACAAGTCGTCCTCGTATATCAACTATTACAAGTGTCACAACTCACATCATAATTCTAATAGTGCATATTCCTTTTCATCGATCACATCCTTTAACCCTTAAATATCTGCGTGACACACAGACCGATAACGAACGCCCGCAATCAATGATCAAAGATATAACGGCTTAATCTAACAGTAGACACGATCTGGGTAACAAGATCAGGTACCTCAGAAGCCAAGCATCGTGTGAATCTGTTTTGAGTCGCAAATTAAAACAAGGGTCGTATTAAAGCTGAATAAATTACTTTCGAAGTCAGTAGTTGTTAGGTCTCTGCCAAATTTCAAACAATTTAATTGTAACACTTTTTAATTCTTCTCCTCTACAGACAACTTAACGATAACGACCTAGAAGAGTTACAGGAGGGTTTGTTTGATGGTTTAAGAGCATTGACACACCTGTGAGTAAAGAAAAGAAAAATTTCAGTATACCAAATATAATTGGAAGATGTGAAAAGATTTACCTATCACTGCCGTATTATTCTATCTTTTTATCAGATGGCTGCAAGACAACAGAATCAGAAAGCTTTCTAAACACGTTTTCAAATATTTGATTTATTTGAAAGAGCTGTGAGTATGATAAAAAGAGTTATGTTTACAAAAAAAATTGACTCTTTCAATATTAATGTACTCATCCTTTAAATGGTAGAAGTATTCGAAGAGAGATCCCCGCAAGTTGCAGCGGGGTTGCGTTTATGCAAAACGCACGCAAGCAAAGACATTTGATGGATCATAACTGAATGTTCACTGATTTTATAAAAGCACTTGATGGGCCTATTTTAAGTCGTTTAAAAAAATTATAATTGAGAGCGATTATATCGTAGTAACATTAGGGAAGGCAGCGTAACCGGATGGTGAGAGCGTAGGAATTTCATCGACTTGCTATGCTGACGTAGTCCCACTGCCTGAGGAGAAACCAGCCACTGCTATTATTAAGCATATAAGACCAATCTTGGTAGCCCTGTCTCTGTCAGAGCTGGTTGTGCAAGTATCTACGTAGGCCTGGGTACCCTAAGAAGATCGATCCGAGCCAATTCGGCATTACTCCAAAATGTTTTGCGCTGCATGGTCTCAGCTCCCTAAAGGTAGTCGAAGTGCAATCCAAAGCGCTGCAACTTGCAGCAGTAAAGCAGTAGTCAGCTTACAACAATCTTCAGATGAACTCAGATGAGTGCAAATAATTGATTATTGACTTCAAGAGAACAAACACCGGTTCGACGCCGTAACCGTCAACTCCAAGGACCTTGAACTTGTTGCCCAAACCACATATCAGGGGTAACCACGTCTAATAACTTTCAATGGAATTGCTAAGGGCCAATTAGCTCACACATTTCTTGATCTTGCTGAAGCGAGAGAATGTTCTGGCTCATGATATCATGTGCTTTTATATATTACCTGCATTAAGCTGATCTTAGAGTATTGTGCGCCCTTGCATTACCTACTTATTTAAGCGAACACTTTAAGCGTGATCAGAAATGCGCACTTTCTCATTATTTCTCCTGGCCTTCCATATCATTACAATTGAGCATTTTCTAACATCAGAAGTTTGAAATACAGGCGCAAAAAACATGGCTATAAATTCTTTTATTCAGACGTATCTAATACTGCGCATAAACTCCATCATCTGCTACCACCCAAGGGTATTCAGATGTACAATTTGAGCCCGGCTAGCACACATTTATGTTGCCAAAAATTCGCACTAGTCGTTTCACGAACATATTTGTTCCATCCATGTCCATTTAGTGAAATTTTTATGCGTTATAATCATTTTATATTACATGAAGTTATTATTTTATGAATGTACATATGACTTAAACTTTTTTTAAATTTCATGTAATTCAGCCTCAGGAGGCCGCGAATCTGAATATTTCAATAAACTTTCTCCCACATCTCTCTCTCTCTCTCTCTCTCTCTCTCTCTCTCTCTGCCTTTCCCTCCCCCTTGAGTTCTGAACTGACCAATGCGTGGTCCTCCGCGGTAGTTTCCTCATACTGTCTTCTTTTCGCGTGAATTACATTCCGACTGATGTTATTTTTTTCTGAATTTTCTGAAAGTTCTAATGCATTTCCCCTTGAAATTTTCAGGGATCTGTCTAATAATACGGTTGAGAACCTGCCACAAGACGTCTTTAGCAACCAAACAAATCTCGAAAAGCTGTAAGTCAACAATAAAAACATTACAAAACAAAAACAGCCACGCTAAGGAAAGCGGTTCTCATCCTAAGCATATTCGAGTTGCGAAAATTTCTCAATTTCTGTCTTAACCCTTTCACTCCCAAGATCTCATCAGTAATTCTCCTTACTATCTGCCATACAATTTTTTATGATGTTAGTTTGGAGAATTTGGTATTGGATCAACTAAAAGTCCCCCGATCGCTATTTTTCTTTATTCTCTTGTCTGCTTGATTATGCTTTGACACTGTGAGGAGAATTTACCTCTTAGTCACTCATGGGAGTAAAAGGGTTGAATTCACAACGTAAGAAATAGACGTTTTGATCTTAAACTTGATTTTTCATTGCACTAATGTTATCAAATTATGTCTCTCCACTTGATCTAATTAGACATGTTCACCAAAACGTATCCCACTGAATGAATGCCAATGATATATCTTTCTATCGTTTGCATTGTAAAAAATACCGTCAATCTTACCAGTTGAAATCATAAGCTACGGGAACCATTTTGTTTTGCCGTTAAACGCAAATGTCAAATGTTTTCCATACACTGAAACCTATCATTCGTCAATATCTGGCTTACTGTTTCGTACTTGCAGCTTTTTATCCGAAAACCAAATTGAAGAATTACCATCAACGATATTTGTTAACCTCACCAAGCTTAAGGCATTGTGAGTAGAGATGGAAATCTTGAAATATTAATTAGCTGTCAGTCGATTGATTGATTAATCAATTTGGGAGATAAAACAGTAAGAGAAAATAAAAGGATCCTGAATGTTAAAGTACGGAAAAGAATTGTGACCATGTTTAAACTGCTTTTGAGCCGGACGATTTTAGAGCTATGTGAGGTCTAGGATGGATCTATTTACTTCAATTTACTGTCAAAATTAATCAAGGATTGCCCTCGTTTTGCTTTCATCACCCTTATCAATAATCTAAAAACATGCGCCGCCTTTTCAACCCATTGGATTCAAAGCTAAAACCAAGCGCGACCTGGCCATCCACCATCACTGAAACTTAAAGCCATGTGCTCGTTCGTATTATTTTTAGTTCTGACTGCCTTCATCAATTTTTTTCCTTTTAATTGGTTGTTGCGGTTACGTTGGTTTGAGGTGGAGAAATCGTAATCAAAAGGCACGCTAGATACGTTGGCGCCAATTCAAATTAAGAAGGAGGTTGGTCACTTACAGGTTTCTGTTTTACAATTTAACAGAAAAATGGAGAAAAATATGTTGAAAGAGCTCCATCCTAACCAATTTCGCGGACTGGCAAAGCTAGAAGAGCTGTAAGCAGTTTATGTACGGATCTGAGTTTTCTATGGGTCTGGTTTCTGTATATAGGCTTAGAATATCTTATTGCGCTGATTATACGACTTTGCCTGATTGACAAACTTTTTCTCATCGCAATTTCCTGCGGAAAACGCTTACCCGATCAAGTTTTCATATTTAAGAAAATTTAAGGCCCTGTGTTATAACTTCCCTATGTTTTTCCGGAATTCCCAAAATAAATGCATGCGGAGGGTCTGTGGAGATTACTGGAGAACCTATAGGCCGGGTTAGAAATAAAGTAGATGAATTTTCAGTAACAACTTGTTAATAAAGTTCGTGCGATGACGTTGCTCCTCTTTAAAAGTCCAAAAACTGAAAAAAATTTATGTGATTACGTTTGAAAATAGAGAAAGATGTCTTTTTTCGTTTTGTCACGAGCGTGGGACAAAGAAAAAAATTGTGAGTCACCATGAGGAATCGCACCTAAGACCTTCGGATTTTGCGATCAGATGCTCTACCACTGAGCCATAGAGACTCCACGGTGAGCGGGGTCTATTACGAAGTTCATAGGACCCGCTTGTGTTTGTAGATTGTCTCCCCACTCATGAAAACGTTATGGATGTCCCGTTCTTTAATCTCCGAAGTTCGCCATACATTTTATTTGCTTTCTTTCTTCATTAGCTATCTATCGGGAAACAAAATCGGATATTTACCACAAGGAATTTTCAAAGGCTTAAATCAGCTTCTGATTGTGTAAGTAGAATGTGAAATTCATTTTGTGCTTAATTTGATCAAAGTGGTATCTCAGTATCTTCTAATAATCGCAGTTATCAGTTTGAGATCCACACATCAATGCACAAAAATTATATCATAGCCGTTTTGATAATTATTTTCTTTTCGTCTTTTTTTTGTAAGAGAACTCTTTGAAAACGAATTGAGGAAAGTCTCTATCGACAACTTCAACGAAATCAGGCACTTAAAAATTCTGTGAGTGTTTAATTTTTATTAATGATAAAATGAGAATCAAATTATGAAAGACACTGACTGCCATCAAAGGTTCAGTTAAGAAAATAATCAAAGGGCGTCTGTGGTCAACTCGCGGAAAAAGAATTAAAGAGATATGTGCTTGTAAAGTTACTATCAGTAAACTAAGGTGTTAAAAAAAGTAGAAAGTAGAACCATTGCAAGTATAGAAATTATAGCACTTGAGTATGTGATGGAAACCCCCCGGGGGGGAGGTACATGGGTCATTTTTTACTGGATATATGCAGCTGGCTTCTCAGAACCTCTGCCGTATTTCAGCCCATGTTGTGGCCAATTATAGACCCCATCTTTGTCCGCTTTTGGGCGAGACCGGAATGGTTTTGGAGCCGTTTATTAAATATTGAAATACGGTAACAACTTTTTTACCATGAATCTTCTTCCTAATGAATCCTTACTTGCCATAATTTTCTTACGCCTAAAATGTGTAACCTCATTCAAGTAACTCTATTGAAAATAGCTGAAAATGCAACGCCGTAAAAGTTAATGCGACCCTATCCAGAGGCACATTGTTCGCCTATCTCTAGGAATTTCAACCCTCACCCCCGCCTCCCCGTCCCCCTCTCTGAATTAATATGTGGTAGAAATGGCAAAGAGTGATGAAGCAAAATATCGCACATAATCACTCCAGGTTGACAGTAACCATTCTACCTTTCACTACTCAGACCGTGATTGCAGCATTCCCACGTGCGTAAAGTGCTTGTGACTTCTGGGAAACACACCCGTGTTACACCAAAAAAACCCATGTGAAGCAGAAGAGGCCGATTACTCGCAATTTCTTGTAGTTTTGAATTTCTCTTTTGTTCTTCAGTACACGCATATGCTTGTATTTATTTACACGGATGCGATAGAAATTAACTGGAAAGCATTCCTTGAAATAAATAGTCGTCGTGTGTTTTGAGCGACAAAGATCGTCAAGTGATCAAAACAACACCGGCCAGCTTATGGTCATGTGCTCGGCAACCAATCATAAAATGGTATTTCATTGTTACCATCAAAACAGTCACGTTTGCTTAGGAAAACATCAAAACGAAACGACCATAACGAAAAGACCGAAATTGGCCTAGCTGCCGAAACGTCCAAAAAAAATCCCTGAAACGAAAGAAATAATACTATAAATTAACATTTTAATTCTGTCATGAGTACATGTATCCGTGGGAATTTCCATGTCAGCAGCTTGTTCTGTCACTCACTAACTCTTCGTGATTCTCGCTGCTCCTCGTTATGTTTAGCGCATGGACGATTCGAAAACCCTTCGTACTTGGTCTTGAAATTGATCTTAGCACTAATCTGAAACATTCGAAGTCCATTTCAATTTAGTAAATGTCGAAACAGCCGTGTCAAGACAATAAACTTTGCAGCGATCGATGCAATCACAATGGCGTCAGGACTTCGGACTTCTTCGGAAGTATAGATTTCGAATTCGGAGCGACTAATTGCGACTAATAACGTAGAGTCCAAGCTAATTTGCATATCCTAAAGTGCCCACAACAACTCGTTTCTATGCTATCGCGTATCTGCGAGTTAAAAAAGGCACAAATCGATATACTAAGTTTGAAGCAATACTCCAGAAATGCTCTTCTATTCACTGATTTCATCCTTATATTCTTGTCTTTAAATATCTAATTTTCAGATATTTGCATTATAACTACATGAGGGAGATTCCCTACGGATTTTTTAAAGAGTTGAAGGATATATTACGAGTGTAAGATTTTGATGTGACGTATTTGATACATTTACAGTTTATTAGCTGAGCTATATGAATAGAAAGCGTCTGGGGGTTCCTTTAATTCAAATATTTACTAGCCCAGAGCTTTAGGCAAATGAGTTAGTGGTTTCTATACTTTACTAAATATCTATGGTCGGTATTCTTACCCTATCGACGACTTTTATAACAACTCCATTTTGTTGGGTAATTATAATATTGCAAGAAAAATTTTCGAACATATTCAATGAAGATTCATAGTCACAAAAACCCCCATATGAGGAAATGAATTATGATGGACTGATCTCGCGTTACCTTTGTGCTCTTAGGGTATAGGCTTTTGGTTTTATCTTTCACTTTATCCTTATGAACTGAATAGCATCAAATTTTACGGTTGCAGGAGTTTGGACACAAATCTGATGTGTTGTCATATGCACAAGGAGGACGCTGACTGTGCTTTCATTGATAACGACGACTTTGCCAACTGTGAGAGCATGTTTAAGAATTCTGCCCCGAGACAGAGTATCTGGGCGATAGGAATCTTTTCTCTGGTTGGTGCAGTGTTTGTTATCACGTGGCGAGTAATCTTTAAAGAAAAGAACGTGGTACAGTCTATCATGTTGCTCCACTTAGCAGTGTCCGATGGTTTGATGGGTATTTACCTGGTCTCTATTGGCACTAAAGATCTGTTGTGGAGAGGAGAGTATTACTTGCATGACTTCCAGTGGAGGTCTGGTTTGTCTTGTCAAATAATTGGAGCGATCTCCCTCTTGTCAAGTGAGGTGTCGGTTATGATGATGACTCTGATATCTGCTGATCGGCTTAAAAATATTGTGTTTCCTTATCAGGGTGCTTCTCTGAAACCAAAGGCAACACATATCCTATGCATCATCATATGGGCAATTGGCTTCCTTATGGCCTTTTTGCCCATGTTTGGTATTCAGTATTTTGAAGACCCTTTCAGGTACCATAGTTATTATGGTAGAAGTGTGGTATGTCTGCCCTTGCAGCTTACTTCTGATAAGCCGGCAGGTTGGGAGTATTCTGTCGCTATCTTTCTCGCTTTGAATTTTGCTTTTTTCTTGTTCATCATGGGTGCTTATCTCATGATACTAGTCAAGTCTTACTTGTCTAGCCGGCGACTGGCCCGTCAGGGTACTGAAAGAGAGATCCAGGCCAGAAGAGCAAACTTTAGGAGGGAAACGGCTCTTGCCAGGCGGGTGTTTTTCATCATCCTGAGTGATTGTGTGTGCTGGATGCCGGTGATAGTGATTGGTATGAGGACCATCATCGAGAAGTCTTACAAAGCGCAAGGAGACCTCGCTGTCTGGATTGCTGTGTTTGTCCTTCCGATCAACTCGGCCTTGAATCCTATCCTGTACACCTTTTCAACAGAACAGGTAGTTATGCGCTTTTAATCCATTATAAGTAATCAAGATAATAAATTAGATCCGTAAGTAGATTAATAATGGCTAGTTACAGGAAGGGTAATGGTTTTCAGCCGACTCGAAGCAGTGTATAATTTTGCTCAAGGCTGCTCTCTTTACCTGCAATTGACATTGAAATGTTTTAAAAGCACTGCACAGGAGAAATTCGTTAGTTTCTATTTTGTCATCGGAGCCCAGTTCAAGGAAGTGAGCGAAATCTCGATTACTTTTGGCTATTGCGTTTCCAGGTCAGAGGCATTCTGAAGAACAAAATGGAAAAAGTTTGGAACTACTTGAAGACCGTTTTCACCTGCTGTGGTCGTGATCAGGAAGGTGCGATGTAATTATCACATATTTGAAGAAGTAAAAATACAGCTAACAGCTCCTCATAAGAAATAAACCGAACAACAGTGTAAACTAATAGATTGCTGCAAATATAGTTTTTGACTGATTCCTTCAGTCACTCGTTCATAAATCAATTCACTCATGCATGCATGGAGGCATTCATTCAATCATTTATTCACTCGTTCGCTCCTTCGTTCTTTTATTGGTCGCTTCATTTGTTGTACGAACTACTCGATCATTGACTTTTCTTCGTTTTTCTTCTTTAAAACGCCAAGGAGATGGGGAGCAACCGAACCAACAGGGAATAGAAGACAACGAACAACAAGGCGGCGAGGGAGGTAAATCCTAACGCGTATTTCTGGAAACATGGTGAAAACTGTAAATGTGGGAAATAAAGGGCGATCTGTGACTAAAAATATTTCCATATATCGTCTTCATTTTAAGGAGAAGGTGGGGGTGAACAAATGGAACTGGTACATGTTGGTGTGCATCATCCCTTACTGGGAGGGCTGCAGTTTTCTAATCCAATGTAATTCTTGTCTGGAAGAAAAATACCGTGTTGAAGTGTTCATTGCTGATCTGTTTGTTTTGAATTGTTTCCCTAATGATTTTATTGTGTGCTCTGTTACCAGAGGGATCTTTGACTGCTGGATACTTTCATACTCGCAAATAGGGTTTATTATTATCTTTACAGTTAATCATCCAACCTTCTTTCATCTGTTCGTCACGTCAATCTCAAATTCTAGAACCCATTCCTTCTTTCGTTTGTTAGTACTTTCGTTCTCTTTATTATTTGAATGTTTCCTGTTTGTTTTTTTCATAAATCTCTTTTCGTGTTTTTTTTTCGTTACAAAGACCAAGGAGAGGGAGAGCAAGTGAACCAGCACGTAATGGAAGACAATGAAGAACATGGCGGCGATGGAGGTAAAAATCTTTTAGGTGTCAATTCACATATCATGAAAATTTCAACTAAGCGCACAGGGTTAGTCTGTGTACATTTTTTATCTACTCTCTTTTTTCAAGGAGAAATTAAGGGTGAAGAAATTGAACTGGCAAGTGTTGGTGTGAATCATCCACAACAAGGTAAGGCTAGAGTTTCTAATTAAATGTCAAGTTTTCAATGCTATTCTGTTAGTTTATATTTTACCTCTGGTGATTTTGTAATGTGTCCTCTATAACTGAAGGAACTGTGACTTTAGGATATTTCTTTACACACGCATAAAGTTTACTATTATCATTTTAATTACCCAATCTTTCTTGTCCATTACGTTTTAATAGTTTGAAATTGTAAATCTCGTTCTGCGTTCGTTACAAAATTTCTTATTTGTTTTCTGGCTCGTTCACAATTTTTTTTCTTTGCTTTCTTTAAAAAGGCCAAGGAGATGGAGAACAACTGAACCAACAGGGCATGGAAGACATTGAACAACATGGCGGCTTGGGAGGTAAGACATTTTTTCTTTTTAAAGAACACAGTACGGACATCATGAAAACTGAGAATGACAACACAGTGGCAATCTCTGACTATATGTTTTATTTAATATTTTTTTCAAGGGGAAGTCGAGGGTGTAGTTATCGAAGTGGCAAATGTTGATGTGCGTCATTCACAACAGGGTAGGAGTTTATATTGGATCTGGAACAGCTGGATATTCTCATGGACACAAATCAATAAAGTTAATTTACATCATTATATTTATCCAACATTCATCGTTTATTACGTTAGTTCTAAATTCTACGAATCTCGTGTTCTGAGACAATTTTGTCAGGTTTAAAAGTTTTGAAAAATTTCTTTGTCTCCAGTCATTGTCATTATCTGAAATACAGAAAAAAAAATAGTCTAACTTGATTCTGAAACAATCACCGATACTAAGATAATGGAGAATAAGGTACAATATTGTTTATTAGTCTAAAACACAAAAGAATGACAGTATTTACCTTTTTGTTTCAAGGAGGACTTGATGAAGCCGAAAGAATCGAACCGGCACCTATTGGGTATGATGATCCAAATCAAGGTAACTTTTCTTACCTTCTTTATTAAAAATCTATAGCCTATCATTTCCATGAGAAAATTGGTCGCTATTCTTTGTTTGTTTGACAACTTATCCAGTGTTGCTGTATTAGAAATGGACGGACCTTCTAAGGACTGTCAAGCTCTCCTGTGTATCGATCAGTTAAGAATCTCATTACCTCCCTCACGCATTGCTAAGCTCTGAATAAAGTAGCTTTTAATTTCTCAGCTAGCTTTCTTACCCCTAAAACTGGTGGTCAAATCAAAGAATATCAATTATCCTCAAAGAAGATTAAGAGATAAAATTCTTTAATGCAAATGAGCGAAATTTGGGTCCAATAAGTTGAGATTTTCCATAATAGGTTGCGGACAAAATGAACGGCAATAAGTATGAAAACATCTAGTTGAGTATAGACTCATGTAATTCTTATTTGGAAGCTTTAACATTCCTAAGCAATTCTTTCAACAAATTGTCAAGCAAAAGATGAAAATGACAACACACTAAAGAAATCCCTAAGTTTGACATGCATCGATTACGTGTAATATTACAAGTGTTTGA